ATTTCTTCCTCCTTGCCATTGAACACAGTATGCTCATCAAACACAACATCTCTGGTGCTGATGACCTTTCCCAGTATTGGTATCCAGATCCTGAAGATGTTAGAGGACTGGTATCCAACCAAGTATCCAATCCATGACTTGGGATCCAGCCTCTGTAGTCTTGACTTTCCTCTATGGATATCATCAGAGAGTGCAAATGCTTTGCATCCATAGGCCTTGAGGTGAGAAAGGTCTGGCTTCCTGGACAGGGTTGGGATTCTACTTTGGAGAGCCACTGGTGTGAAGAACTTCTCATATGAGGTTTTCCATCCATTAGCTGGCCACCCTTGCCAAGACCCTACCAGAATCACGACTCTATCATTTCAAACCACAATGAATCCATCTGCACATGCGAAATCGATCTTAAATGAAGCTCAAATATAGCTTGCTCTCCAGACTATCCAACAAGATGCATCTTTAACTGTGCGACATGCTGCTAAACTCTATAACGTCCCACGAAGTACACTAGGTGCTCGATGTGCTGGTACAGCACCACGATGCGATTACAGGCCTGGGGTTATGAAACTTACAGTAATAGAAGAGGAGGTTATTGTTCGATATATACTTGAGCTAGATTCGCGAGGGTTTCCTCCCAGGCTTGCCGCCGTGAAAGATATGGCTGATTCTCTGCTGGCTGCATGTCACTGTGACCCAGTAGGCATCAACTGGCCTACTACCTTCGTAAAGCATATGCCTGAGCTCGAAGTGAAGTTCAATCGAAAGTACGACTACAAGAGGGCCCTCTGTGAAGATCCGAAGCTTATTGGTGACTGGTTTGGGCTTGTCACAAATACAAAGGTGAAGTACGGCATTGCTGATGAAGACACCTACAACTTTGATGAGACGGGCTTTATGATGGGTATAATATCAACAGGAGCTGTAGTCACTGGCTCAGAGCATCGAGGAAGGCCAAAGAACGTACAGCCAGGTGATCGACAGTGGGCAACGGTCATCCAGGATATTAATGCGATGGGGTAGGCTATCCTACCTTTTATAATCTTTCCAGGCATGCACTATCTCTCTGCATGGTACGAGGAAGAAGATATACCACCTAGCTAGGTTATTGCCATCTCTGAGAATGGCTGGACAATGAATAAGCTTGGGTTTCAGTGGCTAAAGCACTTTGATGTGCATACAAAGAGTCATACTGCTGGAGAGTATCATCTGCTTATTATCGATGGCCATGAGAGCCACAACTCGATTGAATTCCAGCAGTATTGCAAGGATAATAAGATTATCACTCTCTGCATGCCACCACACTCATCGTACATACTCCAGCCGCTGGATGTAGGGTGTTTCTCACCTTTGAAGAAAGCATATGGGTGCCAAGTCGAGGACCTGATGCGCAACCACATCAACCACATCACCAAACTAGAGTTCCTGCCATGCTTTAAAGGTGCTTTTTTTGCATCAATTACAAAGAGCAATATTCAGGGAGGGTTTAGAGGTGCTGGGCTTGTCCCATTGAACCCAGATGCGGTGCTGTCGAAGCTTGATGTGCGGTTGTGTATGCCAATACACCCTACCATCGAAGATAGTACGTGGCAGTCAAAGACACCTAGCAACCCTACCGAATTCCAGTCGCAATCAATGCTGGTTAAGATGAGGATTCAAAGGTATCTAGATAGTTCACCTACGAGGATTCTACAGTCGCTGGAATCGTTCACCAAAGGTGCTGAGATGATGATGCATTCGGCTGTGCTTCTGCGTACCCAGGTTGCTGAGCTTCAAGCAGCTAACGAGTCCGCCACGCGACGTAAATCGTATAAAAGGAAACAGATTCAGAAGGAGGGTACCCTAATAGTAGAAGAAGGAGCTCGATTAACAGCTCTAAAAGCGTTTGGTGCTCATAGTGATAGAAAGAAGGGCACGAAGAGGGCACGCACTGATAGAGGTGAGCAGACTCAAAGGCGCTATGGGCAGTGCCATAAGACTGGCCATAATGCTCGAACCTGTAAATCTGAAGTAGAAACTACAGTAGATTAATATACATCACTGTGAGCTATAGTAACTATTAATGTTTGCAAGTTATCTGACTAGAGAGTCGTGATTTTGGTGGGGTCTTGGCAAGGGTGGCCAGCTCATCCGTGTGGCCAGCTCACCCGTGGAGTACGTTAGTCTTAGACTCAATACATATATTTTGACCAAAAAAAAAAGAAAAAAAAAAAAAAAAAAAAAAAAAGAGTCAATCTAGAAAATGAGCATGAACGCACTACTCAAGTCTCGACAACACACGATGATATAACAACCAACAAATCCATCTCGTTCAATATCTAACAGATAGAGGTTCTTCTCCCGCACAACGCGCAGGATGCTTACATCAGTAGTCGTCGACACTTGTTCCACAATGAAGGGAAGTAGCCTTTTCTTTGACAGAGGCCCTCAGCAATGCGTGGACAATATCAATTTAATAAAGGTAAGACTAAGCTGGACTAAGCCATAAACATACTGTTGAATTCAGGATCCTCCTCGCTTTGTGGGCCTCCCACGGTCCCGGTTACTGTTCCCTCGCCTTCAACCACGTCAGAGGCTTGCAAGCTCGAATCAATTTCGGGGTCGTTGAGAAGGGTTGAGGGGCTATCAAAATTGTAATTCGATCCGGAGTCGCTGGCGCTCGCTTGGTTTTGCGGACCGGTTGCGGAGCCCATCTGCACGCCCAGACTTCCAACAACATCAGGAGGCTCTGCGGTTCGTGCGGTTCCCAACTCTCCGACCTTGGTGGTTATCGCAGAAGCGACGTCTTGTTCCAATCTCCACGCCTCATACCACCGTTTATTGCACTCGATAGCATCTGGAGCCTCCGCCTAAGATTGCCAGTTATACTTCACCGCTTGCACGCTCGCAGGTCTCAGGTGACGAGCTAGGTCTTGTCCATCCAGCGAAAGGTATATTTCTCCGTCCCAGATGGCAGGCCAAAAGTTGGGGTCCTCCCTTACGACCGCATGGAATAGCTCAGACAACTGGCCTTTCACGGTTTTGAAAAAACTCTCGAGGTCCTGGTAGCTTGCGTTCATGATGTCTTCTCTTGCCGCCGTTGCTGAGCTTACGTTGACCCTGGCCAGGCCAGCATCCGCTCCCTCAATCCCAGCTGCGGCACGGTTCAACCTCGCATTCGCCAACATCGACAGATCTCTCAGAATGTGCCATTTCAGAAGCGCTAGCGGAACAAGATGTGAGAGACCGAGCCATCGGCTTGCATCAACAAACGGCTGTACCGTTTCGAGAATATCAAATTGGGACAAAATACGAGCAGGGAGTTCAAGGTTGTTGAGTTGAAAGTCATCAAGACCGGTTATCACTGCGGCACAGACCCAGGACATTCAGAACTCTGGTCAAACTGTTAGCGTGACGATTCTCACCAACGAAATGTTCCAAGGAGCTACTGACTGTAAGATTCTTGGTAAAGACCAAGGCGCAACATTAATGCTGGCATCAGATACCTCACGCTGACGCTGCTGACGCTGGTCAGGGAGAGGGTCAACACACTTTTTGCGTGTGTTAAAGCGTGATGTAAAGCTGGATGATGATTGAGTTTCATGAGATCGTGTATCAATTCCAGTTTGACCGCCAGATAAGTCTCTGTTTCATCGATAACCGGATTCAAACTTTCCATGGGCTCACTCGTTTGCTCAACTAGACGACCTTCGCCCGCACGAATTAGGCTCTTCTCAGCGGTTCTCAGTGCCTCTAATCTTTCCGCTATCGCATCGCATGGGTGTCTGTGGTTTTGGCGATGGGATATGAAACAGGCAAGTCCGCAAAGAGGCGTTGCGCGACACAACGGGCATACGTTGCAGGTCACGTCTGCCCGACCACATATTGTGCATCCTAGACTAAGATGTTGATATGAGCCCGACATAATGGCGTACTTCAAGTGGAATTGAAGATGGGAGCGAAGAAGGAACGAATAATGGGTGGGAATGCTTTCGAATTAATAAAATCGTGGATCGGCGGAAGCAGAAGACAAGAAGTGAAGGAAGAGGAGGAGCGCAAGAGAAAGAAGCACAGGAAGTCATGGCTACTTCCTTCTATACCAGCACTTGATAAGGAACCGGGTAGGACCGGGTAGGTACGCACCGGTACGCACCTAAGTGGCAGGGAAAGTGTCGTTCTTGAGAAACTATGCAGTCTTCGCAGTTGCGACCTTGGGAAATTGCCAGTGCCACTTCTAAGCCTGCTCCGTTGCCCATCGTTTTGGTATGTAAGTCTTGCAAGACATCTACCTGCACCCGGTTATTTTGACTAAAGAGTTAGACTCGAAGATGTTTGCGGGACGGAGAGCTGTTTCGTCTTGTTACATAGGTGGTACTTCTTGTCGCAGTTGACTGGTTTTCTGGGAACTTCCACAAGACTTCAAATATGAAATCTGCGTTAACGTTGTGTTAAAGCGAGAGCAGCCTCTACGGATTCTTCAGTGATGAATGGCCCTTTGAACAACTATGCTTGTAAAGCCGACGCTACACAGTTTCCGTCTGCAACCGCTTCGATCGATCGGACAAGCGAGTGCAATTGAAACAACAAGTGCATACACTTGGAATGTACTTGCTTGATTCTCCTCTTGCACTGTTTGTACGCACCGGTTGAGCTGCAGCTTGAGAGAGAAATGCCCCAGCCGCTCTCCTCACCAGCTCCGGGCTGATCTGAGTTGCCTCAAGCTGTGTCCTTTGAACCGTATCACAGTTGGACGTGCTATTCAGCAATTCGTTATATGGCTGGTACCGACAGCAAGACTTCCAGATCCGTCATTGGCGTTACCAGAAGCATGCTTTAGGCTGCAGCTGGGCGAGCTTTGCGCGTAGACGTACGCGGCCCTAAGCTTCGTCTGCGCGGCTTTCAAATTGATGTCTGTATGGTGGTGAAAAGCCGCTGAGCGCATAGAATAGAGCTCTAAGGGAACACTCAGGAAGTACTCGTAATGCTGTCTCTGCGCAAGACTAGATGGAAGTTCTTTGAGTTCCAGGTTCTAAGTTTCGGTCTCCCTCCCCTCCCGGGTCGGCTCCGCAAAAAGGGGGAGATGTTCATTGCCAAGGCAGAATTGCTTGGCAGTCCGCCCCGCCATCGTCATCGGGTACCTTTTGGCTGACGCTTCAGTAGGAGCAACGCGCAACCTGGAAAGCCTCAGCCAGGCAGATATCTAACCGTACTATATCCTCCGCCATTCTCCCTTTCTCCTTTTTCCTTTATTCCTTGATTAAGCATTCTCCCCCGGTCTGTCATGAATATCATCAAGCTTCAGCGGTATGTTTAGTGATTCCACGCCCCTCGGCGCAATTCCACGACAGCTGACAGACCTTGCTTCCAGGAAATACCCGCAATTCCAGCAATCTGAAATCTTCGGGCTTCAGGATGCTTTCCGAAAACTCGACGTTGACGACAAGGGCTATCTTGACGAGGCGACAGTCATCAAGGCGACGCAGCAGTCCGAGCACCAGCCTTACGATGTGGTCCGGCAGGCGTTGAAAGAGGTGGAGCTTGACAGCTCAAGGAGGGTAGAGTTGGAGGATTATGTAGATGTGCGTAGGCCTCTCTATGCATGGACACCCTCTGTGAATCGATCGTACTAATTTGCCGTGCAGCTCATCGCAAAGCTCCGCCAGTCTTCCCCCGCCCAGCAGCGCTTGCACACCGGAGGTCGCGCAGGAGCTGGCGCCGGTCCCGGAAGCGCTCCCGTGACTCCCGGACACACCCATAAAGGTAGTCATGGAGGTGGAAAGATTCAGGTCCAAGGATCGTCTGCGAACGTAACCCATACCATCAATGAGGATGAGCGAACCGAATTCACGCGGCACATCAATGCGGTACTGGCAGGCGACCCCGACATTGGCGACCGACTTCCTTTCCCGACCGACACCTTCCAGATGTTCGACGAGTGCAAGGACGGCCTCGTATTGGCCAAGTTGATCAATGATAGTGTGCCGGATACGATTGACGAGCGTGTACTGAACAGGCCGGGCAAGAAGATCAAGTCGCTAAACGCTTTCCACATGACGGAAAACAACAATATCGTCATCGAATCAGCGAAAGGCATAGGCTGCTCAGTCGTGAACATTGGCAGTGGAGACATTATTGAGGTTCGCGAACATCTGATTCTGGGCCTGATTTGGCAGATTATCAGAAGAGGTCTGCTTGGTAAGATTGATATTAAGCTGCATCCCGAGTTGTACCGACTCTTGGAGGAGGATGAAACGTTGGAGCAGTTCTTGCGGCTGCCGCCTGAGCAGATCCTTTTGAGATGGTTCAACTACCACTTGAAGAACGCCAAGTGGCATAGAACGTATGATTCCAAAGCCTGCAGATTTGTATGTATACTGACATGCGCAGTGTAACGAATTTTTCGAACGACGTCAAGGATGGCGAGAACTACACCGTGCTTCTGAACCAACTCGCCCCGGACCTCTGCTCTCGCGCTCCGCTGCAGCAACGTGATCTCCTCCAGCGCGCCGAACAAGTCCTCCAAAACGCGGATGCCCTCGGCTGCCGCAAATTCCTGACACCCACCTCCCTCGTGGCTGGCAACCCTAAACTCAACCTCGCCTTCGTCGCCAACCTTTTCAACACTCACCCCGGTCTCGACCCAATCACCGAAGAGGAGAAAGCCAACATCGAAGACTTTGATGCCGAAGGCGAGCGCGAAGCACGCGTCTTCACCCTGTGGCTCAACTCTTTAGACGTGCAACCCGTCGTCCAGTCTTTCTTCGAAGACCTGAAGGACGGCACCATCCTCCTCCAAGCCTACGACAAAGTCATTCCCGGTAGCGTAAACTGGCGCCACGTGAACAAACCCCCGCCAAGCGGCGGCGAAATGATGCGCTTCAAAGCCCTCGAGAACACAAACTACGCCGTCGAGCTCGGAAAACAGAACGCCTTCTCTCTCCCTGGTATCCAGGGTGCAGACATCACGGACGGCCAGCGCACACTTACCCTGGGTCTCGTATGGCAGCTCATGCGCAGAGACATTGTCAACACGCTCCACGGCCTCGCGCAACGCCTCGGCAAGCGCGAAATCTCGGACCAAGACATGATCAAATGGGCCAACGACATGGCGCGCAAGGCCGGCAAGGGCAGCCAGATCCGCAGCTTCAAGGACTCGTCGCTCGGCAACGCCATCTTCCTCCTCGACGTCCTCGCCGGCATGAAGAGTTCCTATGTCGACTATGACCTTGTGGCTCCGGGGCGGAATGACGAGGATGCGTATGCGAATGCAAAGTTGGCGATTAGTATTGCGCGGAAGATGGGGGCGACGATCTGGCTGGTCCCTGAGGATATTGTGGCGGTGCAGAGTCGGCTGATTACGACGTTTATTGGGAGTTTGATGGCGACGTATGAGAGGATGGGAGGGCATTAGTGGAAGATTGGTTGGGAAGTGAAGGGTTGTGTGGAGTGGGGTGGGCTGGGTGGACGGGAGTGAGAGCGGTTGCGTGTTTTTGATTGTTCCTTCCCTACTTCTTGAGCCCTGTTATGCTGCTGTTCCCTTGTTTTCAGTGGGCGAGATGGCCTGGCGTAGAGGAAAAAATCCAACAAGTATATATACTGTTCGAACTGTGGTGTTCTTTTCTTCGGGGACCTGCATGAATGGAGACGTTCAGCTTGAAATAGATAGTAGAGTGACAGCGGCGAGGTCAACGTTGGAGGTTGAGGCTGCTAATAATCCTCGTACAAGGTTTAGTAGATTCACATCGCCACCAAAAATAGGGTAATTCGCGAAGTGAGCGGTTCCCAAGGTTGTTACTGATACAGGAAACAACGACTGGATCAGGATTGCGACATATTCACAAGCCGTCGCGGCATTCCGGACGATACCGAATCATTACCCTTAAAGTATCTTGGCCAAGTCTTCGCAAAACAGCAGTTTTGTACTGTGTAGGCAAAAGCTCTGGTGGACCTGGGGGACATATATACTGGGCTTTCCATGCATAGCTTCGCGTCTACCCTTCGGCCCGCCTCCAATACATCTCGGCTGTGTATGAATTCCCACTTCAGCACAAGGATTTCACAAAGCCCAACAAGAGCCACTTATTCGGATCCACTGCTAACGCGCCACACGTGTGGCTGGACAGACGAAGTAGCATGTGATTGTCTTTTTCACCAACAAAACATCTGATGGGGGTGGCGCGAGCCATGACATCGGTTCTGACTTCGATACAGAATATTAGACACCGTCCTACCTCGGAGTCCGAATGGGAGTGCTAGAAAAATCGCCACGCCTTCGTCACAGCTACCGAGGCCTGTGGTGTGCTGAGCTGGATTCCATTCATCGTTCGGCATCATCTGAAGGTTATGAAGAGCTAGCTATTATTGGGGGTTACCGTTATCAATTGTTGGGGAATTGTCGAGACCCGGCAGGTGGAGAGCTAGCGGAATCGTTCCCATTCATAGGGCGAGGCCTAACATAGTAAGTAGTTGCGAGGGTCAGGGAAGCGATAAGAACTCTACCATGTCGCGATCGACGAGTAAGGACGTGTCTAGAAGGTTTGGCTTTTCACGTGTTTTTATAGAGATTGCACATCAAACGGCTTCCTTTCTTTGACAACTGCCGCAGCCGTTAGTTGTGTGTTGTGACAGGATGCACGACCGTTGGCGAGCAGACGCCATGCAGGTGTAGGCTGCTGAACCCGCTTGTGAAACGGATGCCGGCAAGGCTGATATTTGCAAGATATGAGGAGCCTGTGAGAACGTCCGTGAGGGACGATGGCTTCACCTCGATGACACAAAAGTAACATCTGGACTTCGGCATGCATGTTGAGCTTTTGACAGCCACATGCATATCTATCCGCTGAGGAGACAATAGTACCGTGTATGGTAGCGCCCTATCCAATCAAGCCCAGCAAATAGCTTCACTGCTCCTGTTTGTTGGTCAGGAAAAAATTCCGAGTGATAGTACCAGATCCCTACCTCAAGCAGTGAGGCCCAAGCTCCTTTCACATGTCGAGCCATTGATGTGAGAAAAATTGGATGCAGCTGATAACCATGCAATATGAGGCCATGAAATCGTGAACAGCAAAACAGAAAGGAAATATGTGCACGTTTCAGACTCTATGATCAGCGTAGAATTTGCTTTCTCTATTCGTGCTTCCTCAGTTCGCTCCTAAAACCCGCAATAGAAAAAGGCCCAGCAGCTCCACAAAGCCAGTTGCCCCTCCATCTTCGGATCTTATCGATAATCCGTCTTCACATGCCATTCACCTGCCCTCCCACCTTTCCGTTTTCAGCACCTACGTATCCAATCGCACAGCGACGTCCTCGCACGGCGTTCCCTTGCGCATATATAATCAGGTAAGCCCGAATTCTCACCACCCACCTGCAAACTTTCGCCATCGTCGTCGCCATCGTCGTCGCCATCGACGTCGTCATTGCTCCATTCATCCGTCCATTACTCCACTCCTTGTCTTTCCCAAGATAAGAAGCCCATCAGACCTCCGTTTCTGATTCCAACAACAGCTTGAGCTCCACCTCGACCTAGGCGATAAGGCGATCCAAAGTCATTGAGCAAGAAAATCATTCGAAGATGCCACACGCAGAGAAGCAGAACGGCTCCGCCACTGCCAACGGCAGGGAAACCAGCCATACCATGGTCAATGGCGAGCAGTACCCATCCAAAGTGCTCTCGGTACGTTATCTCTGCTCCCCAGCATTCCACCCGGTACCAGATAAACATGGAATTGTCCGCATCCGACATGCCATTCCCTGCGTTACCATTGTTCCCCCATTCAACTTCCCATTCCACAACTACCCACCACCCAACCAGCCACCCCTTACTAACCTACCTGCTCTAGCACCTCGACTCCTACCCCCTCATCCACGACACCGTCACCTACGCCAAATCCTCCCCCTACGGCAGCAAATCCCTCTCCCTCCTGGCCTCCACTTACCAACGCCTCGTCTCCCCGCTCACCCCGTACCTCGCAACCCCCTACTCCTACGTAGCACCCTACCTCTACCGCGCCGACGACCTCGGCGACGCCTCCCTCACCAATCTCGATTCGCGCTTCCCCATTGTCAAGGAGGACACGGAGAAGCTGAAGGAGCACGTGCAGGAGATTGCTCTTGCGCCGATTGCCTTGATCGATCATGGTAAGCGGTACGTCGTCGGGACGTGGCGGGATGAGTATTCGAAGACCGGGGGACAGGAGGGCGTCGTCAAGAGCGTCAAGGCGTTGATCAGTACCGAGTTGAAGATGGGTTTGGATGGTTATCGGTTCTTGAGCGAGAGGTGGGAGCGGAAGAAGGAGGCGAGTCGGAAGTCGACCCAGTCTGCTGGACAGAGTGAGAAGCATTAGGGGACGGGGCTGGGAGGGCTTTGCGGTTCTGTGGGCGGGACTTTGATGAGCTTTTCTCGTTGCACGGGTTCATATACCTTGCCTCTCTCTTTACACTCTTCCTTCCTCTCTCGTCCGGTATCTGGTGGGTGGGGGATGGAGCTGTCTGTAATTCTGCTGTATTAGTCGGTCTTTGAGATTCGGAGGCCGCATAAACACTTATAGATCGCAAACACAGAAGACAATACCAGATTTCCTTTCTCGGCCTGTATTATTCATTTGCTTGCTCATTCACTGTACTCGAACGTTTTCCCCAGCTGAGCCGAATCAAAGTGGTATTCTGCCCCGACATGGAACCTAAAAAGTGTTTTGATGCCTCATTCGAAGTACATGCGCTCGGCCGGCAGGGTCGTCTGTTGCCTGGCCAGACTGTGATACCCGCTCGCCCTTTGATCATGCAGGACCTCCACCCGTGTCAGCCCAATCCCTCCGACGCCTAGCCATGATAGAAAGAAACGTCTAGAACCGTAACGGAGTGAAGAACCACCTGTTCTTGCCGGACGTGTACCGCTCCTCGAAAGCCTTCTTCACCGTCTTCTTGGCATCCTCCCTCTGCGAAACTTCCTTGAATGTGTCGGCCGACAGCACGCCCTTGAGGTTCTCGAGCTCGAGTGTGTAGCGGGTGGGCATCAGGTGGGTGTCTAACCTGTCAGCTCCTATTGTCCCAATTCCTTTCCCTGCTCCCATGACGTACAGTTGATCTGCTTGACGAAAGGCTTGACCTTGGAGCGCTTGGCCTGCTTCGCCTTGCCCATGCGGCGGGTGATTTGTTGCGGGTAGCGCTCGATGCCGGCGACGAGGGCGTGGGGGAAGGGGTGCGTCTTGGTGCCGTTGTCGAGCGGCTGGATGATCACACACTTCTTGCCGGCATAGCGGCCCCGGGTGATGATCTGTGCGGATTGTGAGCGTGGGTGAGGAGCGATTCGAGCGGTTTCAAACGTACGACAACGCGTCCGACCTTGAGGCTGCAGAGAGAGTCCGTTAGCATATATCCAATATCAATTCATGATAACCGCAGCCAGAGGTCCAGGATTTTTCGGGAATGCCAGCTCCAGGGTGTCCAACATCCGCATCCAGACCCATTGAGGCAATCCGTAAAAGGGATATCGGGCAACTCACAACTTCATCTTGACGGTTAGTACGGCGGGTGTTGAGGCTGGGTGGTCGAGGTTGCGTCGTTGTTCAAGATCACGCCTAGCGAAATTCTGGTGTGTGCGGATCGGAAAAACTAGCCGTCCGGGAAAACCTCGGCGTTTGACGTTCTGTCTGAACTTTTCCTGAACATCATCAACATTCGCATGGAGAACTTCTGAAGAGCACGTCTACGTCGACAATCTCCGGACACTCGCGCCGGACCCCCAAAATGAAGATAAAAGCCCTCAGTCGGCCTGCCTCCTCGGTGCAGGCGCCGGGCTCAAATGTTATGCGCTCCACTCGCAACTTGGATCCGGACATGCACCCTTTCGAACGAGCGAGAGAATATACCAGGGCTCTTAATGCGACGAAGATTGAGCGCATGTTCGCGAAACCTTTCCTGGCTTCCTTTGAACCCGGCCATGTGGACGGTGTGTATGCGTTTGCGAAGGACCCGAACTCGTAAGAGCCCAGCTTGTGATCGAATGTCGACTTTCAGCTAACACCTTCCTGCAGCCTCGATCACTTTGCCTCCGGCAGCGGCGATGGAGTAGTAAAAGTTTGGAATCTGGTGGATCGAGAGGAGATGTGGCAGGCGCAAGCTCATGAGAATATCGTAAAGGGGATGTGTTGGACAAGGGACAAGCGCCTCATCACCTGTGGAAGAGACCGCACCATCAAGATGTTCGAGCCATATTCTGGAAACAAGGCCCCGACATCGACCTGGCTAGGGCAGTCAGCCTTTACCTCCGTCTCCCATCACCGTACGCAGCACTCGTTCGCCGCTGCAAGTTCGAGCATTAGCATCTACGATACTGCCCGATCGTCCGGCGCACCGGTACAGACGTTGAACTGGCCGACAGCAATCGATACCATCACAGACGTCTCGTTCAATCAGACGGAAACCTCGATTCTCGCCTCATGCGCCGTAGATCGCAGCATTATCCTCTACGACGTGCGCACAAATTCGCCTCTGCACCGCAACGTCCTCAATTTCGCCTCTAACTCAATCTCGTGGAACCCAATGGAGGCTTTCAACTTTGCCGTTGGTAACGAGGACCACAATGTGTACATATTCGACATGCGGAACATGAAGAGGGCGCTGAATGTGCTCAAAGGGCATGTCGCTGCCGTCATGAGTGTGGAATTCAGCCCTACAGGAGAGGAATTGATCTCTGGCTCGTATGACCGCACGATTCGCCTCTGGGAACGGTCCAAGGGACATTCGCGAGATATCTACCACACGAAGCGCATGCAGAGAGTGTTCGCCGTGGCGTGGACTCCGGATAACAACTACGTTCTATCTGGCAGTGACGATGGCAATATCCGCCTCTGGCGCGCACAAGCATCGTCAAGGCAGGGCATCAAATCAGCCGCCCTTCGGCAGAAGCTGCAGTACGACGAAGCGTTAAAGGAGCGGTACAAGCACATGCCGGAGATCAAACGTATCGCACGGCACAGGCACGTGCCCAAGCAAGTGAAGAAAGCCGGCGAGATCAAGGCCGAAGAACTCAAGGCCATCAAGAGGAGAGAGGAGAATGAACGGAGGCACACCAAGAAGGGCAAGGTGCGGCGGAAGGCCGAAAGGGAGAAGATGGTGCTTGCGAGGGAGCAGTAGGATGTGCATGATTCTAGATTTTCGGTGCATAGCGGCGGCGTTTTGGGTCAAATATAGGTTGGCAATACCCGGTGGAGACAATATGTATGTTTGTATCACTCACCAATTGTACGTCTTAGATACAAGAACCGTGATCGAAGAGGTTAGTAAACAGGCAGGTTTTGCCGATGAAACACGTCATGTATCGCTTGTACTTACCAGGGCAGAGAACCGCAACCGCTCCAGGGCGATGTAGTTACGATGGCTGATCAATAATTCCTACAACAGCATATACCCACGCCCAATCCTGAAGGTGACTTCTTAATATCATACCCTCTCTCTACGCATTGCATCGCGTCTCCAACATGACCGCGTCATCCGCCATACAAATCCAGGACCAGAAGTTCGAGGAAGTTGGTCTTACCAAGACAATCGTGAACGCCGAACGCGTATGTACATATAGTCGAGGTTTGACGTCCCTCTCGGAGAAGAACCCAGTATTAGTCCTGCTCCACGGATATCCTCCCATTCGTAGGTCTCGACTCACCGCATAGACGATACTTGGCTAACGTGAACGGATTAGTTGGCGCCATGTAAGCCTCCCCTACATTCAAGAAGCACACTGAAGTATTAAGAGTGCTATATCCAGTTCATCCCCCTCCTCTTACCAGAGATCCCATTAATCATCGTGCCCAGATCTCCCGGGCTACGGAGCCTTGGCGCCGATCCAAGAAACCGACAAACTCAGCGTCGGCGGTGCCATTCTTGCCGCTCTGGAGACAACTCGTCACCTGCTCCTCTCCATCTAAAACACCGCCTACGCCCATCCCCGTGATTCTCGTTGGACACGACCGCGGCGCGCGAGTGGCCCCATCGTGTCTCGGCGTCTCTGGGGGGCGAGGGCGTGGATATCAGAGGTATCTGTGTACTCGGCATTGCAAATAGGTTTTTTGCCCACTTACAGCCATATCGGATACATTACTCAAGACTGACGGATTCGTCAAAAGGTCCCCACCCTCACCCAATGGCTCGCCTTCTTCTGCTCGTCCTCCCCCTCCCCCACAAACCCCTTGGAAACCGTCTCCTTCTTCCACTGGCCCTTCCTCGCCAACGCCCCCCTGGTGCGGAGAGGGATGTGGAGATGCAGGTGGAGGGAGGATCAAGAAAACGGGAGGAGGACTGGGGTGCCGGTGTTGGTGATGTGGAGTGTGGGGTATCTTGGGGGTGAGGTTTGATGTACCTGGGGAGTAGAGGGAGTGGGCTGATGGTGATGGGGGGAAGATGACGGTGTGGCCGGTGGGCGATGGGGTGGGGCATTTTGTGGTTGAGGAGGCGCCCGAGGTGAGTGCGATGAGGGTGTGAGGGAGTGGCGGAGGGAGTGTGGGTGGTATCAGTGGTAGGTATGTAGAGGTCCCATATTCTCAGATGCTCAGATGCTCAGATTCTTAGATTCCCGGAATTCTCAGATTCTCAGATTCTCAGATTCTTGGGGTGAAGCGAAGGCTAACTCAAAGCTAGGTACCCTACAGTTAAACAGAGAGAGACATCCTACTACTCCTCCTTCTTACTATCCCACCCATTCCCCCTAAACCACTCCATGGTCCTCCTCACCCCCTCCTCGGTCCCCCCAACCACAGGCTCATACCCCAACACCCTCCTCGCCCTCCCAATATCCAACCAACACCCCATCCTTATATAATAATACGTCAACCGCGACACCCCCGGCCGTACCCTCCCCATCGTAACAACCCAATACACCCACTCGATCACCCCAACGACGGACAAAACAAGCCAAAACGGAACCACCCTATCGACCTTTCGCGGCCCGCCGGGCTTCCAATTCGCGTCCCCGGCCTCGGCCCACACGCACCGTACAAAGTCCCAGAAGGGCAGGGGCTTGCCGTCGGTGAGGAAGAAGGCTTGGCCGTCTGCCCTCTCCTCCCCGTCTCCTGGATTCGGATTCGGAGGCTTCAGCAGCGCCTTCGCGGCGAGTACGTGCGCCCTCGCGCAATTCTCCACGTACAGCCAGTCATGCCGCAAGGCGTTGGGACCGATCTGGAAGCGCGTGTTGGGCGTGTTGACTCTCTCGAGCATGGCGCGGATGGTGGACGAGTCCGGGCCGTAGAGCCCCGCGGTGCGCAGCACGGCCGTCAGGAGCTGGTCGGTGAAGTCCCCCGAGGTGTTGTGCAGGGCTTCCCGGGTGTTGAGTTGGCGGACCAGGGCGTCGATGGCGGATTTGGTGCGGGCGTAGGCGTGCGGTCCGGACTTGAGGGTGTAGGTGGGGACTTCGTCTTCGTGGACCGGGTGTGTGTTGTGTGAGGGTTTGAGGGCCAGGACTTCGCATGTGCTGGTGTAGACGAGGGCTTGCACCGAGGCGTGCTGCCGGGCGGCCGTGATTATACGTTTGGATTGGTGGTAGGTGATGCGGTAGTGGGCTTCGTCTGCGCTGAAGAAGTCGGTGCTGACGGTGTGGATGATGGTGCGTGGTTGGATGGTGGAGAGGAGTTTGGTGAATTGCGATAGGTCGCTGAGGGCGCATTCGTGGTAGGTTGCGCCGGGGATGCGGTTGTGGACATTTTCTGTTTCTCCCGGTTCAACGGTGGAGACGACGGAGTTGAAGCTTTGGTCTGCGAGGAGGGATTGGACGATGTGGGAGCCGAGCCATCCTGTGCCGCCGGTGACCAGGACAGTGCCTAGATTCCGTTTATCGGCCATTTTGTGTCTAGGAGAAATCTTGTGAGGAGGAGAGAGCAGCTTGGTTGACTTTGGGGATTAGGTTCGCACGAGTTTATATCCCCAAGTGAGGCTGAAGTGGGTCAGATATGCTAGCGAATTGACTTCGCGGTTTCCATCCCAATCGAGGTTGGCAAGGAGTAAGACATGGTATTCAAATCATGGGGCTTCCCTGTCGAATGCTCCATGCGCATTGGTTGTGCTAAGGTTACTCGCGCGAGGCACAAACATGGCCCCCTATAAGACAACCTAGTGCGTAATAGTTACAGTGTGTCGACTGTTGAACAAGGCATACTTGCACTACACACCAACTAGAAACAGACCTTTGACGGTATTTAGGCTTATTCGTCCTCCACGCTGATCCTACACATTTGTCTATGTCGATTACCCTATTGTTTTGTCTTAGATACTTTAGGTTCAAAAATGCAAGGGAAAGGAAAAGGGGGAAGACTTGATACAACACGCCCAACTTTAGATGAAAAAAGGAGATGCGACTGCTATGACGGCTTCATCCCTCGTGCATTAAAGCCCCCACCCCTTTCCTACTCCGCACGCTTTGCCTCCCGAAGCTACGTACTGAGGCCAGCGGTAAATACTACTTGGACGACCATAACCACAATCCTCGAGTGCGCCCGGCCATCAGCACATCCGCCCCTACGCTCCACCCTCCGAAAAGGGGAGCAATGAAACACAAACGATCTCAACAGGCAATAATCAAAAACTCATTGTCTCTATCAAAAAACGTCTCATGTTAATTAGCCTAGCCAAGCCAACCCCCCGCCACCATCTCGACAAGATCAAAAGACCCAGCACAACTCCCCTGAAAATGGAAACGGAGGGTGCGAGCCAGCATCAAGGCCAATCGGACAAAATGCCTACACTGCAACAACGACAACCGCAACCACAACCTCTTACTCGCGATGCGGCGCTAACAACAGCACAAAACGTCCACGAGGGCCAAGTGACCCCTTTTCAGACCAAAAAAAAAGTCCGTGGTTTCCATGTCTTCATTTCTCATGACAAGTAGTCCGTTTGCGTTCATCGCCGCCCTCAAATCTCCAACGCTCCAAGATGGCTAAAATCACCGCCTACAACAGAATGATAAAAAGTGGTCGGAGTATCCACACTCATCTCCGCCCCCTCATCCATCTCGTGAGTCCATCCAAAAAACAGTGTTGACATCATTTTTTGAAATATTAAGACAAAGGTCAAACATTACTTCGTCTCGTTGAGCAACTGGTACAAGGCCGTTTCGCTCGCCCACACCGGTTGCAACATGACGGCATCAGCAGTGCCGGAAATGCGATGCGCGCTGATCGTAGAGTCGTTAAGCGTCTCGGAAACGAAGAAATGAGAAAGAGAAAAACGAAGGCCAAACAGATTCGTCAAGACGCAAATCGCAGGCAGTAGATTGAAGAAAAGAACATGGTCATGGTCGCGTTACGAAGTGGGAAACAACAAAAGAAAGCCGCCCGAGGTTGGCGACATCAGAATGGGAGCATGCTTTTGCGGCGTAACACGAATAAGAGGAGATTCGTACGTTTCTCAAGCGGAGAATAGGTGGTCGGCTTGAGGAACAAGTTCCGGCCTTGGACGTATCCGTGCCGTGTAAAAACAAGGCGGTAGACCGCCGCTTCGCATCACGCATATATCATCTCCTGGCCTGAGTGGCAGGATACATGTTGCGTTGTTCACGCCGGAGCTGCTGTGAGGCATCCCGGTAGGCGGTGCCACCCACTGCGCCGCCTTCAAGGGTCCTGCGACGCTTCGCCATGCCATCCATTGTGTCGACCGAAGCGTCATCGTGCTCCTCTTCATGGCCTCGTTTCATAGTCGTCGACGCACCATTGACGGCGTTGCTCATGCCGTTGGAATTCGCGTACGTTTGGCTGGGATAGTTCTCGATATTGCCATTCGAATTGGGGCCACGGCTGTCCGCCATCACATTGTACACGTTGCTAGAGCTTGACGGGCGCTGGGTGGACGAGTAGCTGCCATTCCATTGCGTGTGGGCGGCGTTCGTTCGGGGTGTCTGCCGGCCGGACGCATTCTGGCGCGGGGAATCCGTGATCTCCTCAACCACGTGCGTGGACGATGCGGTGGAGCCGTAAGGATACGCCACGCGGTTCCCGTTGTAGGCGCTGCTGGTCGTGTACTCATTATCGTTTTCCTGACCACCCTGGTCGGCAACAGGCGCCTGTGTCGCTTCGACTGGCTTCGCATCCTCGGGCTCGCCAGCTCTTGAGGGCGGCGCCATCTCGTTCCTCGACCCAGGGGAGTCCTGGTGGCGGTAGTCAATCAGCTGTTGATTGTTTCGAAACGTGACGGGTTGAGACGGCGGCATGTTCGAGTACATGGAGCCGGTGGCATCATATGCGGCAGGCAATCCAGGTACAGGAGGCGTACTTGCAGGCGTCGTCGGAACGGAACGTGCGTGGGGGAGTCCAGTATCCACCGCAAGGGCGGGCATATTCTGTTGGTACGACCCACTCCATTCAGAGCCGGACATGCCCACTGAAACTCCGCCCGAGTTGGGCGGGGTAGGGAAGGTATGGGCCCTGTCCAGGATCGCCGGTCTGCTGGCCGTCGGATGTGGGGGAAGAAGATGCGGCGGTTGGGAGGCGGAGGGTGCACTTATCGAATGATGGTGCAATGAAGGGGGCAGCGTCGTAGTGGCGCCCGTGATGTATCTGGAAGTCTGTGTTGGATCTGCTCTGCGCGCTAACATCCCGTTCGGATGACTCTGCCTTGTTGGATTAGCTGGATGGTACAGGAGGGATCCAATATCATGGACGAATAGAGGATATAGTGCTTCTGTGATCTTCTCCTTATTTGCGAACTCCAGCGCACGCTCGAATTGGATCCTAAGGCTCATATGAGTACGTGGGCCCAATGCATGGCTGTTGGGGGTCAGTCTTACCAAACACCTTTGAGATGCATTGGGCCAATTTTGACCACATGCCTGACCTTCTCGCTCTTGAGGATGCCGTCTCTGCGCCCTCGCGTCATTCCCGCCACGTTGAGAAGTTTGGTCCCATTGATCATGTGGTTGTCTGCGAATTTCAGTCAAATGCGCCATTGTGTTGAGCGGAGGAGTGTGGCAAACGCACCTTCACGTCGGGCAACGCACACGCCCTTGGCCTCGACCTGAAAGCACAGGCTGCCTTCGTCCTCCCACAAGGTTGCAGTCACCCTTGGCTTCATCCCTGGAGGGGCAACTTGGCCTGTGGTATCAAACACATGGGGCTGGTGTTGCTGACCGGCTGGGGCTTGAGTATTCATAGCTAGACCCATTAGCCTCGACAACATTTGGCTGGTACAGCGCGATGGCCTACCTGGTAAGGGGGCAGGGTATGGCTGCGACATGGGCACGAGGGCATTTGATTGCGGTTGTGCAGTAGGATAAAAGTTGCTGTTGTAAGGTGGGTAGCTGGTGTGCGCCGAAGGATACTGGGCGGTAGAGGGCGGAAGGTATCCGGTTGTCGTGGGAGGGGCGTAGTGGCTGTTGGGGGCAGGCGGGTAGGAAGTCGCTGATGTGTTGGAGTAGCTCGAGTAGGTAGTCTGAGGCGTGGCTGAGAAAGAAGGGCCATTCTGGTAGTGGGCACCGGTATATTGATGGGAGGCCGGTACGGTGGAAGGAGCAGCATTCTGATGACCGGTACTGGGGGGTATGTGCTCGGCCTGCTCGTCCTGATAGGGCTGGATGGGATGCGGTGCGGGTTCCATGCTGTATGACATGGTTTCGAGAAATGTGCTGTTTTTGCGTTGACGTTGCTAAGGTAAGGCGAAACGGTGAGGGGGAAGCCCTCTATGCTTAGTGAAGTGCTATTTTTTCTTGCTGGGGCAGAAAACTGGGCTTGCCGTCTGAAGCGTGTCTATGATGCAGCCACCGAATTGGGAAAGAAAGAAACTGATGGCATGACAGTCAGCGGCAGTGCGGCAAGGTAGAGAGGCTAAGATATAGGTTGCACGGAGGTGAAGTGGGACAGGCGAAGAACTCACCCGTTGCGGGAGTACCGTCAGGATAGGCGGATGGCGAATCTAGCTAGGCGTGGGGAGTGGAATGAGAAGCACAGGTATGCTGGTCAGGCTCGGCAACGTGAAAAGATTGTGAGGGCCTCGTCGAAGAATGGCACACGGAGCTGCAGCAGAACGTTTTTGAGGTCGTCGGCGAAGCTGTCAGAGCTGGAGGGCCGGCATTCACAAAGGATCCAGGATGGGCAGGGCAGCGAAGCTGTTGTAGGGAACCTTTTCAGTTTCCACGAGGGCCGACGAATGGGTGCATTTGGCGATGGCGAGGCTGTAAGGAATGAAAATGAAGCTGGCGCACTGAAGCGTCGAGCAGGTAGAAGGGGCGACCGTATGAGCGACCGATGCAAGTGCTCTCCCAGTTCTGTCTCTCAGTCGGTGTCTCTCTGTAACTTTTGGTGCGGCGAGCGGCGGCGGCGGCGGGCGGGATGGAGAGGAGGGAGATCGGCTGCAGAGAAGCAGATGGCCGGCTAGCGCGTTGCGGTGCAGCCAGCGCTGACCTTAAGCGAAGAGGCAGGTGCGACTTGGTGCGAGGGCTGGAGGGCTGGGAGGCTGGCAGGCTGGCCAACCCCGGACAACCTTGGAAAGCAGAGGCCCACCAGCAGCAGCACACAACACAGCACAGGCCAACACGGGGGGATTTTTCCCTCTCAGGGCAGCTGGCAGGCACGGGTGCAGCTCTGATGATGAGCTTTCGCTGGGGGAGAGAGAGAAAAATTGACCCCCAAAAGCAACCGGCAGCGGGTGGGCTGGGCGCTCACGCACTGGCTCTGGAGTGCTTTGCAGCAAAGCGCAAGGGCAGGACAGCGGCCCAGCGTCAAAGGGAAAAAGGAATCCCAGGAAGCCTGGTTGCTTGAAGGGTTTGCTGCGTCTCTCCAGCACCAGCACCCCAAAAAAGGCGACTAGTGGCAAGTACGGAGTAGTGGTGAAGACGCTGCTGCACAGGCGGGCCGCTGCGCGTGTGCAGCCCTTCGTTGCTGGTCCTTAGGTTGCCGCAGGTAGAACGACGCACTCTGATGAGCTGCTAGCCAAGTTGCTATCTCTTCGTCCTGGAGGTCCTGGGAGAGGGAACCCCGTGAGTCCGTGGCCTTCACGGACGAGAGTGGCGGCCTTGGAGCGAAGGGGGCGAAGACGTCGACGGCTTTTGATAGGGGAAGATGCCCTGTTCCTGAAGCGAAGAAAAGCCGGTCACACGTGCTAGAGCCTAGTGGGCTCGACGTGGGAGTCGGCGGGAGTGGAGGGGTAAAGGATGCAACTGAACTCAAGATGCCTTGAGAAGAAGAGAGTAGACTGGAAGGAGTGAAGAGAGAAGAAGGAGAAGAAGAAGAAGAAGAGCATCAACCCATGAGCCATGAGGGGGAGGGACGGATTGCGAAAAGTGACCCCCCTCCCTCTCTCTCTCTCTCTCTCTCTCTTTCCACCACCCCCAAATCCCATCCCATGGCAACTGCGACCACCACCGAGCCGTTTGGAAGCCGCGAAGCTCGCAGGGATAGGCTGGACTTGGGCCAATTGCCGGGGTGCTGTGGCCAGAGCTGCCGCACAAGCCACCCACCCACCACCCCCGAACTTGCTCTGCCGGTTGCTCTGTTGTCGTCCACCCGCGCTTCCCTGCAACACTTGAGCTGGGATCTTCCTTGCTTCGATACCTGATGGTGTTGTCCCCGCTGTGGAGCACCAAATTCATCATTCATCAAGGTGGCCAGCGCCTGCGATACGACCAGTCAATAAATACTGCGACGACGTGGGTAACGCGCGTTGGGAGAGTCAATAGCAGGTATCACTTTCCCTCCAGGAAAATACAGATGATGCTGTCTAGAGCAGTCATCTCCTCTTCTTCTCTGCCGTCTCTTACCCAACCAAAAGGCCGTCGAAAATAGTGTCATATTTTCGCCCATCTACGACAGAGTACTCTTCTGTACCACATTCCGAAAGATCCCAAACTCGACGCAGTACAGTACGGAGTACACAGAAGAGACGTTTGCGTTTCGGTTCAAGCATAGAGTAGCGCCTTACCGTCACCTATCTAGATAGCTTGAGCCATACATCCACGTGACTCGCTGTACGCATCAATGATTGATAGAACCTTGGAATCCTCTCATCGCTTTGCAGCGTAGACTTTGGCCTGCGAACATAGGCAAACCGATTGTCAAGAACGATGCAGGGACGAAGAGACCCTGCGTCACTCCAGAAGAAAGCCCGTACATGATTGCTTCAGCATGCTGCTTTCCACCGCCGGTGAGGCCCATCACACACAGCTACCATGATGTGCTCTCCCGTGCTGCACGGTTTCGATGCCGCGACCCGCCCGCAGCCAGTATGCACCGCCTCCTGAAACACGCTGCTCATCCCGCCCGTCCGCTAACCGCTCGTCTCTGCTTCCACTTTGACAACGACGACGGTTATCTGCTAATAATGGGCGCTTTTCTGGGGCAGACGAGATTATTGGCAGCTCAGGCTCCTACCCTCCTCCAGCTGGCGCCTTCACCCACACCTCAGGCTAAAATGGCCATACCATGCCCAGCGACAGGTCTTGTTGTTGTTGTTCGGATGGGAACCCCGGTCTGTCGGCGCGAAGGACCTCGCAGCGGGAGACACGGACGCTTCAATTATGACCCCTCGCTGGTCGCTGGGGCATCTGACTGCGAGCTCGTGAGTGGTCGGCTGTTTTCGCAACCGGGAAAGGCTGGGCAAGGCGGCGGATCAGAGTCCGGCGTCTCCAGCCTTCACACCCGAACGGAGGCGTCCAGGAGCCAACAGTTCCGTCATCTGAAGCGAAGAGGCGCCGGATGGCAGAGGCTGGCCCAGGGCCGGAGCTCCTGGGAGCTGGAGGGCGTGCGACGTGGGAGGAGGACTCGAGGGAGCTTGAGTGGTGGGGTTGCGCGCCCCGTTACAAGGGGCACGTCACGTCAAGATTGGGGATCGAGGCAACGGAGGCCGAGGGCCAGTCGCTCCTCTGCTGGCAGAAGCGTGCCCGCCCGCTGTGCTCGCTGTGTTGTCTTTGCTGGCAGCACCTGTGGAAGTGGGCGTGAGCGAGAGTGGGTGGGTGTGTGGATGTGGAAAATCTGGTTGTGTGTCCCATCTGGACGGACGGGCGTGGGACCCAGGGGCCCGCTGATAGGAGCATGGCCCATGCGGTGAATGTGCTGGCAGCGCTAAGCCCTATACGGTGAGTGAGGCCAGTCCAAACACAGTTACCGTCTACCCCAAGCCTAGTCCGGGTTGGCTTCCTCGTTCTTCCAGTTCTCATCCGTCCCGAGGTCTCCGCACACGCCTGGGCTGTCTTCAAAAATTGCCTGTCCAGAGAGTTGCGGTCCTCGCAACAGCACCTCTGAAGCTCAATAAATGCGACTGCACAGGCCAACCTTTCCGGTGACTGCATGTGCCATACCTCCTGGCTGGCGGGTTGCGCGACCGGAACGACGAGCCACGAGCGAAAGCTCCCTCTCCATCAAGCCTTGGAGGCAACAAACCTCAACCGGAGTCCTTCGTGCACGGACTGCCTCTTGCCCCTTGGCAAAAGACTGGTCTCTTGCCAAGCTGCCCTGAAGCTCGGGCCAGTGAGCATCACCAAACGAAAACACCCTCCTCCATGTCTGCTTCACCAGGCCCAGGCCCCTTGTTGAACCCACCACTCACCACTCACCATTCCGTCCGGGGAGCAGTGATTTCCAGCCCTTCTCATCCGCTTTCCGTCGCCTCAAGCGCCAAACCCACCACTGTTCGCATGGCCGTGATTCCGTCTTGATAGCCGCGCCCCCTCGACCTCCCATGTCTCCCTCGCACACTTTGCTGATCCTCCCTATCATCATCTATTCTCGGGCGCTACTCTTCACGAATCAAGAGCAGACTTGTTAGACGTGGCCATAACCGTATCCTTTGTGTTACCGCCGACGGGACGAAGCGCCGACGAGACGAGAGCAACCTCAGCCCCATCATCGATTGCTTCCATCAACACAAGCACGTAATCCCCTCCCCATCCGTCGCACACAAACATAGCTCTGGGGACCGGCAGTAGCACCGTGGCGCTCCAGGCGACCCGTGCAGTTTCACCATGTAAGGTCGCTCAGCGAGTGGTACTTTTGTCGCGTGGGTCAAATTGCAAAAGTGAATGCAGCGGTGCAAATAAACGTGCAGCGCAGCAAGCGTGCCGTAAGGGAAGCGCGTGTGCACGCCCGTGCCCGTTCCGTCTGTCCACCTGTGACTTGCTGACCACCATCGAGGAGCCAGATAGGGAATCTGATATGAGCTCCGATGAGGACCGATGTTCATATCGCGATACGAACTGAAAGTCGATGGCCTCTCAGCGAAGTACACCTTTCTCAGTACTCAGTATTTCTCAGATACATGGAATCGCAGCATGTCAGGACTGGGTTGTGGCGGCATCCGTACTGAGTAGGTCGGTAGGTACCAGCTCCCACTGGATCCGTGGAAATATTGATGTTGTGAGGATGTGTTCCTTCCATCAACGAAACAGGAAGGGCAGTCTGGGAATCGGAATCCGTCGGACGAGGGATGCCCTCCCCAACTGTGCTTCTCGGATTCGCCATATTCCGATGATACTGCAGTCTCCGCTGCGTACCTACTCTGGATGCCTGCTGAGGTCCTTCGTTGTTTGTTTCATCTGGAGATGGTGGTGCTCCATCAGGATTCAGCGCAGACCATGTCTCCAAGCTTCAAGGACCCGCGATGCGATCCAGCTGCAGACTGTCGGCAGGCGTTCCTTGCAGGAGAGCGACGAGCGAAGCCCATGCCGCCTCTGGCCCGCAATGTGGTGTGGAATGCTTGGCCGCTCCGGGAATGGCCATTGGTCCGCTCTCACAACTTCCAGCTGCAACCAGCCGTCAATCCCGTCGATGCATGAGTGGATATGTATGCGTGTGATTGGGGGCATCCCTGTTCCCACTCACCCCTTTGCCACGTCTCAGCCCCGCACTGAGCCCCTCGTCGCTCACCACCTGGCTACACAACGCAGGAAACACTGGAAAGGTCAGCGAGCATCTGCTCCGAACTCCTTACCATGTACAGCTCGTCTGGCTCTCAACCAGCTCTGCCGACTCCGGAGCACTTTCACACTATGTACTCGGTACTGATGACCAGCAGCAAGACATGGCGAGATGTGGCAGCTAGGGGTGGGTTTTCAACGTTGAAATTCGTTTTTAACAGTTTCTCAACCCTAACCGTTTATAACCTACAAAACCGTCCTTAACAGCTAGCCTGTTTAGGATGCACGCTAGGCTTATAGTAGTTGTACTAAGCCTCCTTCTGTCCTGCCCAGCGCCGTTACGGCAGTTTAGACTGGGTTTTAAACGTTGAATCCGTTATTAACACGTTTTTAACTTGTTAAGTTGACAACATACAAACGTTTATATAAACCCGACCCAGGCCTAGTGGCAGCCAGTTTCACGGATGCGCGCTGACCCCGCGCTGCGTGACATCCCAATCCATCTCCACTCGCCACTACGGCCGACTACGCCGCCTCCCTTGAGTCGCATCACATCATCCCTCGAGAACAACAATGATGCCAACTGCTCTGGATTATTGCCATCCTCCAGATAGGCGTCCAGCTACCAATCATGGCCAGCCACGTCAAAAGCATACTCCAAGAGCCGTTATCGGGGCGTGTCAGCAGTCAGCGAAAAACGTGGACTTCCCAAGTTCGTTTCCCCTCCCTCGCATGACTAATCCGTGCTTGGCGGTGCCACCTGCTCCGGTGGCTGGGGAGAAAGACTCCGTTCGTACCGTGGTAATCTACCCTCCTCACCGGCTGGTTCCTTCACGTCATGTCGTTCCTCAGCGTTTCCTCAGCCGTCGATCTGTGTTCCATCCGCCGTCTTGCTCGTTTTCTAGCGCATCCCACGAGACGCCTCTGCCACCACCGTTGCTCCCCTGGAGCTCTGAACCCCTCTCGACCCTCCACCCTTGGCTATTCCGCTTCCGCTTGTTGTCGTGAAGTCTGAAAACAGTTCTCAACAAGGTTCCGAAGAGCTGGTGCAGCTCACCGCTGTTCTATTCTTGCCACTTGAACGCCTTTGAAGGATAAACTGCTCTGCTGGGGGGTTGGGAGTTGTCCCGCAACAATATCGTCGTCCCGGCAGAAAGGGCCCTTTGATTATCACACGGCCGCTCTCCTCCGTGCCCCGCCGCAGCCCTGCAGTCCTCCATCTCGTCCTGGGGCACTGATCCACCGTTCCTCCCTTCCGTCGTCTATGACCGGGCTGTCTTTCAAAGCCCCAGACGGGGTATGCTGCGAAGGCGGTCCCTCTGCAGAATGCCTGTCGGCCTTCCGCTGCAATGCAGCATCGTTTGGGATGTTGCAGTAAAGGCATGGCGTCTTCAGCAGCAGAGCCGCGACCGTCACAGCACATTCGCTTCCGCAACCCGCTAAGCACGACATCGCAACCTGCATCGCATGGCAGCTGTCGCCCCTTAGATACCTCTGAAGTTTGCTTAGGCCGCTTGTTTAATCGCCGAAAGGACTTTGTGCGCAACATCACAGCCTTGTCAACTACGGAGTACACGGGCTCCTGTTTTACCTTCATTCCCTCGAACAGGCGTTCTAAGAGATGCTTACGGATTATGTGGCGCCCAGTCGGGATTGACCATGTCCGCATCCTGCCTGTTGCTCAATATCTGCCTCCGGAGCCTCGCCATCCAGGTGAATGGGTGTTGAAAGACCAGGTGCACGATTGTGGAAGGCGCTCGTATCCTCCATACCATGATCAATATTGCCCATTGCCGACTACTCACTGATGACGCTTTGTCCTATTGCTCTCCCCTGCTTGCCGGTCTACTAGCCTGAATTCCCAACGGATGCCGGTCCAGAATGAGCGCTATGTATTATGGGCTTCCAGTACTCCGTTCTTCCAAGCGCAATTGTCATCACTATGGGTCTACTTCTTCCTTGTTTCCTTCATTTATCTTATCTCGCTAACCCTGGTGGGTATTGGGTGCTCCCAACAGTTTCCTCTTTGGGGAGCTATTGCGAGCCGGTCAGGCGCCTGGGTAAGGTTGGTGGTTAAGTGAGAGACTTTTTGGTTCCTTTCTTTGAATTGATCTCATTTTTCCGTTCATCCATGCCGGAGACTGCGTCGTGTTGATCCAGTTTGGCCAGAATTGATATTGGCACCGTAACATTGTGTAGGCCTTGGCTAGATCTGGCTAGCTTTTTGCACTGTAAGCATTTTGCTCTTTCCGTCTACTTTCTGTCCGACGGTCTTCCGACCAATTCCCGTCTCGCTGATACCCTTGTTACAACTTACAGTGGACTGGCCAAAGCTGCTAAACTCTCGGGATAGGCACCGTGTTCTCCTTCTCGAAGCAGTTCGGCCGAAGCTCCTTTGGAAATCTTTTCTTGGAAGCTTACCCGTACAGAGTACAGTCCGCATATTGCGATCCGAAGCGCTACGCCTCGGAAACCATCCGCTGTTGTAGATCACCAACCGTTGCCAAGGTACGCGCTGCGATGCGTCCCGCTGGTAGATGCATCCTGTGCCGTGCGTCGACGGGCAGGATGCAGTGCGGCGGCTGCATTATTGCGGTGCCTGCATAGCATGGAGACTCGGCTTGAGCTTGGAAATCCACGATCGTCATATGGCCTCCATATAATGGCTATACTGGACCAAGCGGACTTGCTGAACACGAGGGAGAGGAGTCGGTCGTCTCTTGTTGTCTGAGACTGACGCGCATTGATGAGACTTGAACTCGCTGATTCTCATCCGCACGCTAACGGACAGTATCTCTCCCACCAGTGCTCAATCTAGTAGCTATCTCCTCCTGCTCGAGACAAAACCCATGTCGAACATATCGAGGAGTCGACACCAGCCGGTCAAAAAACGATTTTACCCTTCCTCCGTTAGCCTTTCTGCTACAGCAGAACACCTAGGGAAAGGAAAACCTAGTAGCTGCAGTAGACTTCATCTTCTATCTGCAACACCTTTTGGACGGCTAGATGCTCTCCCATGTCTATTTTGTATTTCAATAGAGACGGCTAAGAGAAGAATGCATGTAACAGGGTAACCTGTCACCTTTGCAATCTCACCACTTTCGGAAGGAAGGTGTACCCTCTAAACTTGCCCTTGGCTCCACGGCTTCAATTCCCCTGTCCGATCTGTCTCCTTTTCTTCCATACAGTACTAGCAGGACCAGGACGGATTTGACCTGAACGGAAAAAGAGAAGGGGCAGATCCAAATCCTTCCGGCCTCGCATGCTACTATTCCAGGAGTGAGTCCTTCGCTATGATATATATGCTGCTAGAAGGTCCGACTTGACGTGCATGGAGGAGGCTACTCCATATACTACGGCGAATTCTAATGCCTCTGGCACAGCAGGCCCCGGCACGAGTGAATGCGAAATCGGTCAACATGGGTGAATCCGATGTTTATACATTTTGAGTCACGACGTCGGCAACGGATTTAAGGGTACAGGTAAAGCTGTGCCACAATGCTTAGCGCATACGTACATCTATCAATCTATCTAGGACATACTATGAACGCTAGTACCGTTTATCTTCCGCTCGGAGGCGCTTTAGAGTACTATTATGTGTCTTGGGAATACATAGATACATACGTACATACATACATACATCCATCCATCCATCCATACACGAACTATATACCCACCGATTCATGTTCCACCTACATACAGTGTGTTATCATATAGTGTATTATACTTCCTACTCGGTCTCTGTAGCAGATATACCATGTACTCCATGATCTACCTCCTACCTCCTAGAGAGACCTCCACTCTTCACAGTCATTCCTATTGAAAGGCTAAGACCGACAATCAAAAACGTGGAAGAGACTAGGCGTCGCTGAAACCCAGGTGGCTACTAAATGGCCTCATCACGAAGACAAACTGCAGTTTGATCCGAACGCTTAGACCATAACCAACTGTTTAAAAATCCAGCACAAAGACTCGTTTACAATGACCGTAGTAAGCAGACTTTGTCCTCATAGCTCATCACTTCCCGTTCGTTGTCGATGCAACAAGTCCCAAAAATCAAACTCAATCATCCCACCACCACCACCGCCTACAAACCTGCCCGCCCAAACTCACACCAAAAAGAAAAGGCAACGCAGCAGCATCCCAGACTCGAACCCAAGCCCCCCTCAAAAAAGATCATCCCCCACTCCTCCGGAGCGACAGGGCGATTGGGTCGATATAGTAAGCGCATCTGTACAATGCAGACGCAGTAACCTTGACCGTTTGACCATTGCTCCTTGGAGTGGGTGATGGGGTGATATAAGTATCTGCCATTTTTAGGATTATATGCAGAATAGCGATGAGGAGGTGGAGGGTTACCGGCGGAGTGAGTGGTGAGCGGTGAGCTCGCACGCGGTGAACGGCGGGCGTGCGGTGAATGGGAGGGTTTGAACCACATGTGAACGAAACTAAAATGTTTAGGACAGGCACACTTGGGCCCGTCTCCTTTTCGATGGGTAATTCTAATTATTTATGAGAAGAGAGCGCCCCTAAACACTATCGAAACACGGCCTCCTACTATCGATTCCCGCTTCCGCACTGTAGGGCCCTGCAAGAACTGAACAAATACTGGACAGAGCGGCATTGTGGTTCGCATTTTCCGATCTTTCTAAGAGGTGACAGTATTGACGTATGCAAGTCATCATAAGTTCAGCTAGGTCGTAAAGATCTATGCCCACTTCTCACCGCAGCTTTATAAGTGGTGTTGGTGGTCATCATCATTGTGTTTGGTATTATATCTCATGTGGTCTGTCGACAGTAAAGTTCCCTCATCTACGTACCACTTACGGCTTCACTCTACGGAGCCGCCTAAGAGCATTTCGCTCTACAAAACGCCAGAATCGCTGGCCATTCCCTTTGTCACCCTTTCCTCCGTAGAGAAAACATGGGGTTGTCGCATGGCAGTTTTAGACCATCTGCTTTCGAACGGTTTCCAACACCATCGCCCAGCGAGTTCTGTTCGCAGGGGTGCAACCCAGCACTCCGTTCTAGTTAAAGCAGTGGATTGAGGGCATTGCACGATATAGTCTCCGCTATTGACGCAAACGCTGCAAAGGCAAGCAAAAATGTGAGTAGAACGATAATACTTTGCTACCAAAGTGTTGCTATAACGTAATCTGAAATGTTTCGATGAACCGTGGACATCACATTGTGGTCGATGACCTTTTGAAGTTGGCAGAGCGCTATGATATATATTCGCTTACACTAAGAACACACTGAGCACCGTAGGAGAAGCACAGCGTGAGTGTGGCACCCAAAAAGGCCATATATTAGAACAAGTGAAAGAAGTGACAGACGAACAGTGAAAACATTAACAGGGGATGAGATTGAGGAAGAAGCTGGCATAAAACAGAACGACATGGTACAATAGACGAAGACGAACGGTGAAACATTGACAGGACTGAGGTTGAAGACGAAGCTGGCATAAAACAGAATGACATGGTACAATAGATGAAGCATGCATGGATGGGCTTGAAAGCTGACAGTGAGGGAAGGCAAATTGACAGAAAAGGTCGACAGAGAGAGCGGGCCTGTCGACAACAGTTTGCAAAGAGTTGTGACCGAATGACGGAGAGGTCCATGGAGAGTAGAGCCAGGTTGACAGAGCAGTTGACAAGCAGTAGAGGCACCTACTTACGCTTCCGTCTTTGTGCATCAATTAGCGGAATTATGAGGCTGCTGCAAGGGTGACAGAAACAGTTAGTACACAGTCGGATGCTGGAGGTCGAATGGCGCGGATATCCTTTGATCCCACAGAGGCATGCAAGGCACAAAAGGTCTGACATCGTAGTTCCCATCTACGCTGGATGGAGGAGTCTTATATTAATAAAAGCTTCTTAACTAGATCATTGAGCGAACTTACGAAAAGACCCGCTCCAACGCCCGATGCAAACCCTAAGTGCAGTATCTGACCAGGAAATAGTGGCTGCTGAAAGCCGGCGATGCCAGTTGCGACTCCCCCTCATTCTACTCAGTGGTCTTCGCAAGCGCCCAAAGGCTGTCAAGCTTTGCCTTCGCCAACAACTCCTTAGCTTCGCCGTCCGAATCGCAAATCTTGGAACCCCACTTTCTGAATGCTCTCTGTTTAACCTCGCCTTCGAAGACAAGCACACATTTGTTGTGGGAGAGGTCTTTCAGATGCCCCGTCTCGTCCATTGGTTTGAGCCACTGGGGGTCGTCCGCCGTCTTCTCCATCTGGGCCTCAGTCGGCATCAAATTCTCGGTCCATTTGACACGGTGCAGCAGGACTCTCTTGTATTTTTGGATGGAGTGATGACCTCCTTCTACGACGACCAGGTTCATTGTGGGATGAAATATGGTGAGACCGGTAAGGGAGTGCTCTTTGGCGTTGAGGTCGACCTGGTACCGGTGCTTGCCGAACGCGAGCGAGTCTATCTTGAACACGCACATATAGAGGCCTTTTTGGGCATCCTTTTTCTGGTTTTCTTCGAGCTTAGCACGACGTTGTTCCTTGGTAAGTTTCCGCTCTTCATTGGCTTTGACATGGTTGTCGTGGCGCTCTTGAATTTGCGCTTCAACCAACATCTCGACTGCAGTAGGATCTGCTATTGCCTGTTCGCCCATGACCCGCATCATGTTTCCTCGCTTGACCTTTGGTGGAGGAGGAGGTTCGAGACCGAGACGGATTTTGGCCTGTTGCTCCTTGTGCTCCTCAGCACGGCGCATTCTTCGAATTTTCGCCTGCTCTTTAGTGGTCAAGTACATCGGCTTTACGGGAATCAACAGTTGGTCCTGTGGCGCCTTCAAAAGGACAGGATGCTGCACATAGGATGTTATGATCGAATCATCGCCATCGATCTTGACTTTCGACGGATCGTCGATGCAATCGTACGTCTTCTCCTCCAGAATTCCCTCGTCCCACCATTCAACAGAAGGGGGTTCCGGGACTAGAAATCCGCGCTCACTGTTCTCATCCAATTTTGCCTTACGGTTCTTCTCCGCGAGCAATGCTTTAATCTGCTCCAACTTCGTTTGTTGTCGCAGCTTCGAAGCCTGAGCAAGGTACTTCCCGCGCTGGTTGAAGAGTAGACTGCGAGTCATCCTATCGCGCGAGGTTCCCATCGACTTGGGGTCCAGATATGGATTCTTGTTCGCATTGTCCTCATCCTCTGGCTCCTGCTTTGCGCCCGTCTTGTTCGCGGGGCTGTGCGGTAGAGGTGATTCCGTACGTCTATTTCCCAGGGTGGTAGCAAGCCGTGTAGACGGAGAGTCATTGTAGCTTGGGCGGTGTTCATCGTTTCTCGTGACGGATGAGGCTGGTCGCGAAGGAATGCCGTTCGTCGGAGGTGCGGCAGGAGCGGCGCCTTTCAGAGCCGCCATACGGGCTTTCATAGCAGCGAGACGATCTGATGCACTAGCAGAGGGAGCTGCTGGGGGCGGAGTAGGAGACGCTTGTGGCCCATTCGCCCCACTTGCACATTGGGCGGCCGCTGCGCGTGCCTTGATGGCTGCGGCTTTTGCTTTGGCTTCCGCAAGTACATCCTGAATGTTGGTGGCAGATGGTTTCGGGCGTTTGGCGTCGCTAGCTGCGCCATCCTCGCCAGGATGGGGGCGTTTTCCGAGCATGGTGGACGACGTATCACCCGAGGAAATGGTCGATGACGGTAACCAGAGGCTATCTTGATGTGTTGTGAAGGTGAAGGTGACGATAGATAGTTTCGAGCACGCCGCGGGATAGAGACCGTATGGTGGCCCGAGCGGCGGAAATCTTGGCGCTCTCCAAAAAATCGGCGCTCAATGCTGAACAACACCTTCTGTTCACGCCCGCCAGGTCGCCGTCGGTGCAGCCGCCATGAATACCTCCCAGCCGGTTTCCGCGGCCATAACTGGCGTCGAATTCGGGTTTCTCTCTACCGAAGACGTACGGAAGCTGTCCGTCAAGCGCATAACGAATCCGACAACCTTCGATTCCTTACTACACCCGGTGCCTGGCGGTTTACACGATGCTGCCCTGGGAGCTTTTCTCGACAATTCGTAAGTTACGCGCTTGATTCGCGCATGAGAAACGACACTGATTCATCCGTTTCAGCTGCGCAACATGCGGGTTGACAACCCACCTCGGCTGTCCGGGTCACTGCGGTCACATCGAACTGCCCGTGCCTGTCTACCACCTCACCTTTTTGGACCAGCTGCTGCGCCTTCTACGTGGGAAATGCAGCTATTGCCATCATCTCAAGCTCTCCAGGGTTCAGGTTAACGAATATGTGTCGAAGCTTCGGCTAATCAGGTGCGGGCTAGTGCAAGAAGCCGCAGAAATGCACGAGCACGTCAACATCATGGCTGGGAAGGACAAGAAGAAAGTGGACCAGGAGGACTCGGAATCGGACGACGATGCTGACGGCATTATCGGCCAGCGCAACGACTACGTTAAGAGAGCCATGAAGCGGGCCGGCATATCAAAAAGTGGTGCTCACCTGATCAGGGCGAAGAACGAGACTGTCGGCGACGCCCGACGCGCCGTGATCAAGGAACTCTTCGCTGAGATGACCAAAGGCAAAAAGTGTCGGAACTGCGGAGGCATAAACCCGACGTTCAGGAAGGACCGCGCGGTCAAAATCTTCCGCAAAAACTTGTCTGGCAAGGAGAAGGCTTTGATGGCTCAAGCCGAGAAGCGGTATCAGAATCCTCTTGATATTCTGGCAAAGAGGGAGCAAAAGGCGCAGAAGAAGCATCTCCATCCTGATGAGGGTATTGCAGATACGGAGCCGGCGTCCTCTGAGGACGAGGATGCGGAAATGCTGGATGCGCAGGTCGCGGATGGGACATTGGTCGCTTCCGAAACCATGACCGGGTCAGCCAAAAAATCGAAGACCTCGAATGAGCTCCCTGACAACATGCAAGAGTACATCACACCATTGGAGGCGAGAGCAGCCATGATCCTCCTATTTGAGGCGGAGGCCGACCTTCTACGCCTGGTCTACAATCCATACGTGAAATCCAAATCTCGGTCAGAGGTGGGACCGGATATGTTCTTCATGCACGTCGTCATCGTTCCGCCGAACCGATACAGGATGGAGGATCGGACTGGTGATTCTATTGCGGAATCTCCGAAGAACTCGCTCTATAAGAACATCATGAACGCATGTGATCAGATGCGACAGATCAGCAACGAAATGAAAGGTCACGACAACGAAGCAGGCTACCGCCGTCGAGACTTCTCAGATCTTCAAAACGCATGGGTCAACCTTCAGGGCGTGGTGAACGCCCTGATAGATAGGGATGCGAATCCTGTACAAGGCCTAGCTGGAAGGTCAAACGCGGACGGCATCAAGCAGAGTCTTGAAAAGAAGGAGGGTTTGTTTCGTAAGAATATGATGGGCAAGCGGGTCAACTTCGCCGCCCGCAGTGTCATCTCACCTGACCCCAACATTGAGACCAACGAGATTGGAGTACCTCCAGTTTTTGCCAAAAAGCTGACGTACCCGGAACCCGTCACGAACCACAACTTTTATGATCTGAAGGAGGCTGTGCTCAATGGTCCCGACAAGTGGCCTGGAGCCGTAGCGATTGAGAACGAACATGGCCAGGTCATCGCGCTGCGTAAGAAGAACTACGAGGAGCGCCAGGCGCTCGCCAACCAACTTCTTGCGCCTTCTAGCATCAACGTGAACGGGTCCAGGAACAAGAAGGTCCATCGTCATCTGAATAACGGTGACATTGTGATAATGAATCGGCAGCCGACGCTCCATAAACCCTCCATGATGGCTCACCGCGCACGGGTGCTACCAGGCGAAAGAACCATTCGCATGCACTATGCAAACTGCAATACCTACAACGCAGATTTTGACGGAGACGAGATGAATATGCATTTCCCTCAAAACGAGATCGCCAGGGCGGAAGCCGCCACAGTCGCGGACACAGATCATCAGTATCTTTCGGCGACAGCTGGGAAACCCCTACGAGGTCTTATTCAGGATCATATCTCCATGGGCGTTTGGCTGACGAATCGTGACACCTTCTTCACCAAGGAGGAGTATCATCAGCTTCTATATTCCTCCCTACGACCCGAAGATGGGCACACCACTTCTGGAACGCTCCTCACTGTACTTCCTGCCATTATCAAACCCCGGCCGCTTTGGACTGGAAAGCAGATTGTTTCAACTGTTCTAAAGAATGTCCGGCCCGCAGAATATCCCGGCCTCACGATGACCTCCAGGTGTCAAACGAGCTCCAAGCTGTGGGGCCCTAACTCGGAGGAGGGGGATGTTATAATCAAGGATGGCGAATTCCTTTGTGGTATCTTAGACAAGAGTCAGATTGGTCCCGCTGGTGGCGGCCTTGTCAACGGTGTGTATGAGACTTTTGGACACACCGTGGCTGGGCGCGTACTCAGTATCATGGGTCGCCTTCTCACCAAGCTGTTACATATGCGCGCATTCTCCTGTGGGGTTGAAGACCTCATCCTCACCGAAGAGGGAGAGCAGGCTCGTTTGCGGGAGCTCAAGGAAGCTGAGAAGGTCGGCTTCGAGGTGGCTTCAAAGTACGTCACATTGGATTCTCAAAAAATAAACGGCAATAGCCCCGAGCTCAAGAGGCGCTTGGAGTCTGTCCTGCGCGATGATCAGAAACAACATGGACTTGATCTGGTCACAAATGCTGCGGTCGCTAAAATTTCAACTGCGGTCACGCAGGCGTGCCTTCCCCACAAGCTCATCAAGCTGTTTCCGAAAAACCAAATGCAGACCATGACTGGGTCCGGTGCCAAAGGAAGTATGGTCAACGCCAATCAGATTTCATGCAATCTTGGACAACAGGTTCTGGAAGGTCGGCGTGTTCCCGTCATGGTCAGCGGAAAGACATTGCCCTGTTTCAAAGCGTTCGAGACCAGTGTTCGCGCTGGTGGCTACGTTGTGAACCGTTTCTTGACTGGCATTCGCCCGCAGGAGTACTACTTCCATACCATGGCTGGTCGCGAGGGTCTTATCGATACTGCGGTCAAAACTTCCCGTTCCGGTTATCTCCAGCGGTGTATCATCAAGGGCATGGAAGGTCTCCGGGTTGAGTATGACACCTCAGTTCGTGACTCAGATGGCAGCATGGTACAGTTCCTCTACGGCGAGGATGGGCTGGATCCAACGAAGCAGAAGTATCTCAATGACTTCAAATTCCAGGCCGAGAACTTTATGTCCATGTTCCAATCCCTTAACATCGCTGAGGCGTATGCCGAAGTCCATAGTCCGGAAGCAGCGGAACACACCAAGGCTGCATATAAAAAGGTTCGCAAGACTAGAGATATCGCCGCCATGGACCCGTCCCTTGCGCACTATACTCCTGGACGCCACAGTGGAGCCACCTCGGAGAAGTTCTATGCAGCGAAGAAAGAGGTACGCATGAGCCGAGAACCCTCACAAAGATCGTTTGGCTAACATTCGTTCTAGTACATCGATAACAACCCAGACAAACTTCTAAAAAAGAAGAAGAGTGATCCCGTCGGTCAGATACTGCGCAAGACGTTCGAGTCCATGCTTGACGTGAAATATCTCCGGTCCATTGTTGAGCCTGGTGAAGCTGTCGGTGTTGTCGCTGGTCAGTCTATCGGAGAACCCTCCACGCAGATGACGCTCAACACCTTCCACTTGGCTGGTCACTCCGCGAAGAACGTCACGTTAGGTATTCCCCGTCTTCGTGAAATTGTCATGACCGCAAGTGCGAAGATATCCACACCTGGTATGACGATGTATCCGCATGCAGAGTTGTCCAAGGCGGATTGCGAAAGGTTTGCGAAGAGTATTAGCCGGCTTCCACTATCCGCGGTCCTCGATAAAGTCACCATCACAGAGAGATTGGGTCCTGGTACTCTGTTCACGCAAGCCAGGACTTTTAAGGTTCGCTTAGACTTCTACCCCGCCAAGGAGTATTGTGAGGAATATGCTATCAAGGTTCGGGATGTGGCCGAGGCGGTGGAGAAGAAATTCTGTTTCCGTCTTCACAAGCTCATCAAAACCGATTTGAAGAAGAAAGCTGCCAATCGATCATTGTCGAGTGCTTCTGCTACCAAATCTGCAGCCGTGCCAACGATTGGAGAGTCAGCTGGTACTATCCAGCAGGTCAACAACAGCGCCGACACAGAGGGTAATGAAGGCGGGTTGGAAGATGATGACAGTGATGAAGGTGAGGGCGACGGCGACGCGACCTATGCTAAGCAACGAGGCCGGCGCGAAGACAGTGTCGAATTCGACGGACCAGACGAGGAAGAGAGGGAATTGGCCGATAGGCTTCGTCGCGAGGAATCTCCGGAATCTGAAGACGAGACTTATGGCGGCAGCCCCAAGCCGTCTCGCGCCTCTACCCCTGACTCCGACATGGAGGATGAGGATGCAGAACCGCTGATTCCCAAAGAAGAGGGCTCCGATGTGCGGCGTGATCGCATTCTCAAGATGTGCACCGACATCTCCGACTTCAGATTCGACGACAAAGCCGGTAATTACTGCGAGATCACTTTTGAATATAGCGTCACGACTGCAAAATTCCTCATGCTACACCACGTCGAGGCAGCCGCCGAATTCGCGACCATTCACGTGATTCCCGGCATCAACTCTGCGCTCGTCTCCCAAGAAGACGGGAAGGATGCTGATGGCAACAAGACCAAGGTTCCCGTCATCATGACTGAGGGCGTCAACCTCATCGCAATGCGTGAATTCGGTCACATCATCGATACCAGCCGCCTTTTCACCAACGACATTGTCGCCATGCTTAACCTGTATGGTGTTGAAGCTGCTCGGGCGACAATCGTTCGCGAAATGCATGCCGTTTTCTCGGGTCACGGTATTAGCGTAGATAATCGCCACCTGAATCTCATTGCGGATACAATGACCAAGGGTGGTGGCTTCACACCGTTCAATCGTAACGGCATGAAGGGCAGTGTGAGTCCCTTCATGAAGATGAGCTTCGAGACTACTGTGGGTTTCTTGAGAGACGCGGTTCTCGAGCGCGATTGGGACGAGCTTAGGAATCCTTCTGCCAGGATTGTGGTGGGTAGGTTAAGCAACGTGGGCACGGGCTCGTTCGATGTGCTCGCCCCGGTGAGGGTTGTGGATCCGTTGAAGGGAGGGAAGGAAGCGAGCGGTGATGTGGAGGACTCGGTTGAGATGATGGATGTTGATGCTGTGGAGGATGATGGGCTCGATGGTCAGCCTGCTCCTGCATCGCAGACAGCCGTTGAAGAGCCTGATGTGAAGCTCGTTGTGGATGTGGAGGAAAGCAGTCCGAAGAAGGGAAAGAAAGACAAGAAGGAGAAGAAGGAAAAAAAGCATAGGCGGGGTTCCGATTAGGATTCTTTTCAAGGGTCAATGCCTATTGAGGGCGCACATGAGACGGTTCCTGGTTTCCGGCATTATACCATCGTGCAGCCTGCATGTAAAACTTCTAGACGAGGAAACTTCAATGACAGCTTTTTCCTTCCCTGCGCGCTCAATGATGGCCGACATAGACTTCGGCTCCTCATGGAGGCTGCCTTGGGACATCATGAATAAGAGACACGACCTCTGTGATTTCCAGTAAGTGACAACAATTTACCATGGAGCTTTATTCGAGCATGACTATTCAATAAATCGATCGATTAGCTTATACTGTGTGCGGTGTGCGTAATACAGTGCAAAATGGACAGTGGCTAAGGTTCGGATCGTATTCCCCACACGACAACTCTTCAGTCCTCAAGCCTACCTTTTCCTCAAGTTGCTGGGTAGATCATCTTCCACAAAGCAACCGCCCCACCGCTATCTATCCATTCTCCGCATCTGTGTTCAAACTGACTAATAAAGCCCGCGTTCAAACAATCCAATCGGCCTCTTGCACCCGATCTCCGCTCTGTCCGAGAAATCACTCCTGCACTCCCATATGCATGTCTGAAACGACGTTCCAAGCCAACCAATCACAAAAGCCCCGAACATTCTACACCAAGTCTTACAATTTCCGTTTCTGGTTAGCGCAGAGCACTAACAAGTCCGTAGCGGCTCGTATATTCCGACATCCACTGTACTTTTTGCTCCGTCGTTCACCGCTCAGGATGCATTTCCCGGGATTTGATGGATCGAGATACTGCCGTCAGGTGATGTGTCCAACGAGATTGTGCCGGCTCGAAACTGAGGTTCTGCATCGTGTTGGAGTGTTGCGATACACTTCGGTGGAGTGGTTTGTGTTAAATCGTTCCTGTGGATCCCCTGCCAGAATATCGCGAAGTCCGCAGGACGCCTGAAGCTAACTCATGGGAGAACTGAGCAGATTGAGTTTACCGCCAATGACGTGCTTGTATGCGTGCATGAATCGTGTTGCGAGAAACCCAGTGCAAGAGTTTGCGGACTCCGTTATTGCAATGTCATCTTAGAGACCGGACGTTGCGCGGACTTCGGGTTAAGAGACGTGATCGACGCACACATGTGGGGATACGGAGTTTAAACAGATCCAGGTGCACTTCAGGGCTATTATTAGCTTTTTGAAAGGTGGGGAAGTGAGAAGCCACGTTGGACGAACACGGTGCATGTGGGGGTAAATGATCGCATGCTCGAATGCTGCCGTGGGTCACAATGCTGACAGCTAAGTGAATATCGTGCAAGTGCAGAGTTACGGGAAGAATAGAGATTCGTGCGTGTTTGGTCCGGAGATTCCCAAGGTTTGGCGTTGTATCGCTATTTCGCTGGGGATCGCCGGTCATTGAGGTGAAATTACTGTGTATGGCTTGCTGCGGTCCGATAAATTGATTCCTGTGACCAGGCAGTGACTAAACATGCATCATAAGTATCTGTAAAACATAAGAGATTGGGCATCTCTAGTGGTACTTTTTAGATCATAGAATTCAACCTCCCATTCCCATCTTCCGCGTCCTTTCCCGCCGTCTGCGGAAGTCCAAGAGTTGGGCCGCGACATCCCCCACCGCTTCCTCCCACGACCGATAGCGCCCGAGACCTAATATTGAGCCAGAATTGTTTGAATCTTCACTTTCAGGGCTTTGGGCTGTTTCCAAGCATGCTGAAAGCTGTGGGGCCAACTGGTCCGACTGCACAAGTTCTTCACACTCGGGGAAGCGTGCGGTGAGGTATTGTGCTATGATCAATGTTGACGGCATGGATCCGGCGGATAGATACACCCGGTTGACTCTGGTCATGGGGACGTGAAGGGCTTGAATGGTTGCCAAGGCAACGTCCTACCGCAGAAGTGGTCAGTCTCACTGATTTCGAGAAGAGTGGGTAATATAAAACGGATTTACCTACCCTGACGTCTGCATAGGAGTAAATTCCATAAGGAGGTGAAGGAACGGTCTCACTTGTCTGTTTGTTCAGTATATTCCAAATCTCGAGATTCGCTTCTTGGATGTCCACCCAATGATCCACGCCCCATATTGAAGGTCCGTAGATGGCGGGTGCAGAGAGAGCCACGAACTCGAAGGAAGTGTTCGAATCTTTTATCCAGTTGCAAATTGCGTCATATATGACATTATCGCTCGCCCGGCTCGCTTCAAGAATGTAATCGCTGTCGACACCTCCTATTTCTGGCTCTGGCACTGGCATGTTGATTGTATATCTTCGGGGGTGTCCTGAGGTAGATGGATTCGCTAACCACCCAGCAAAACGGGTCAGTGAGGAGACGAGTATAACTCTTCCAACCGCCGTAGATGCGTCCTTTATACTTCCCAGAATCCTACACACTCTTTCACTCTCCGCGGCAACGTAACGGGAGAGGCAGTCGACCTCCTCGTAAGCGTCTGCAGCGAGACACAAGATAACCGCTTCGAATGGATCCGCCGAGTCACTCAGAGCGTCTGAGAAGACTCTGGGTCTTGTTATCTCTCCCGACGGTACTACCAAGAAGTCCAGCACCGAAGAGTCGACACTAGGGTAGAGTTGCTGGATCCTGTGTGCCTCTTCTCGAGACTCGAGAATGGCTCGAACTCTCAAATTCGCAGACAGGGCTTGGTCGAGGATGTGAGAACCAACTAAGTGCGTAGCACCCACTAGAAGGATTCTTTTCATTTTGGCGGAATAGCGCAATAGCGGCAGGGCTCTCAAAACCTTGATCCGAGAAAGTGGTCTTCAAGGAAGAATTTCGAAAAGTACTCGTGTTCAGGAGATCTGTAATACCGAGGTTTACCGAGAAGCTGACTGGTAGGTAAGTGTGTGCAAATCCAGAAGCCATCTTGACATCTATCTATGGTTAGTTATGGCTAGTGACCGCGCTCTTGCCTTCGAAGTGATCGACTGTCAGCAGGCTTCATCTGGCTGACACCTGGCGACCCAAACTCAAGCCCGAGTGTGGGGCATGTTTGAAGCTCATCTACGCAAGCGGAACTCATGGCGATTGGCAGCTGACGTGTGCAATGGCAGTGCCATGTGGCTGTCGAACTGCACTCATCCCATCGGTGCAAACGTAAAAACCCTCAGTGTACAGTACTCACGGTGTTGCTTGACGGAGAACCTACTTTGTCTCAATCAGATACAACTTTGAATCAGGACTGACTGCCCTTCCCGTTTGGGTGGACGACTATCCTTCTAGCTTCACCGAGATGGCAGGCACCTCTGATGGACGGTTAGACTGCAGTAGAACGTTTGTCGCAAAATGATGTCCCAGTGTCGTCGTGGGAGTGAGGTTTGGGGTCTTCAAAATCTTTTACCTGGAAAGGTAAATCTTCAATGCACATAGACGCACCACCAATGTCCAACTCTTTCACCGTGCGTGCGCCATAACCCTCACCTCTCTCACTTCTCACTTATACACAACAACAACCCCGATTGTTTCCTATATAACCTATAATTATTCCCATAATTATCGCCCTGAATACAGGATAGCGAAAAAGGTCTAGTGGTCTCCAAGGCTGGAGTCAGGCAGTACTGCACTGATTCGGCTGCTCGACCTTTTTGCCCTCGAAAGGGCCCTGGTTCAAGTCCTACTGTGTCCATTCCCTTTTCTTTTTATTTTCCGTTTTTTTTTTTTTTTTTTTTTTTTACATTTGGGTGCCCAGGTGCTCTTGGGAGCTCTAGCATATCGATATGCGCGGCATGGGCGACACTGTTTTTTTCCAGGATCCATCCTGAGTCTACTATAAATCCAAATTTCTCGAAGGGCAGCGAGCGCAATAGCTTGCAGGATCTCGATTCAGCAATAAGGCGGCCTACGTAATTCGCAATGAGTATCAACTTTGGTCACCTCGATTACATTGCCCGGCTCCAGAATACGAGAGATCGACATGCCTGTATCCGATATCACAGCATATAACTTTGTGATCACCGAGCCAATGTGGGTAAGCTGCATGACCGTGTGCAGGTGTGTCGAGTGGACAATGCGTGGATACGAACACCAGTTGTGCCTGGCACTCTGTGCGCCGGCACTTTTTATCAGTAGGCCTGACTACTAACCCTCTGTCGCATTGAAACGAAAGAGCTCGGTGCACGGTGGGGATCTGGGATCTTCCGCTGGAAGTGTACAACACGGGGTGTGCACGAGAACTCAATGCATATGTAGTCCGTTCGAGCTCTATAGCATTATTGTACACAGCTGCTTTTGCTCATGTTTCGGTAGTCCTCTACTCAAGCATTGATGCTTGATTCGTGTACAAGACATCCACCACATTGCTAAGCTTCTCTATCGTCTCCAGGGCGGCATCGTAAGCCTGATCACGCTCAGACTCATCATAAACGATCAAGCAACCTGAACCCTGGTCCAACACTCCAATAATCACCTTATCAAGAATCATCTGCGAAAGCTTGCGCTCCACCTGCACGGTATCCAGCCCAACCATCTTCGCGACGTGGTCAATCTCCACTCTGCTAAAAGGCTCAATGACCTTGATGAGATTCTGCTCGAGCATGTTGTCATACAAGCGCCTGAGGTGACGAGCAACGAAGCGGTCGCTTCCGAGCTCCTGTTGGAAGTTGCTGAGGGCGGTTTCGTACTCTTCCAGACTCCGGTTCGTATGTGCTCGTGCTACGGCCTTCATGGCGTCCAGACTCTTTCCTGCGTATTTGATCGCGTGCTTCGAGGTCATGAGCGACGTCACGTCATCGCCAAGATTGAGCATGATCTTGCAGAGGAGCATGTACTGAAGTGCTGATGTTGCCTTCTGTGTTTCCTCCTGCGAGTGATACCCCTCCATTGCCTCAATGAAGTACGAGAATGCCGTGTTGAAATCGTTATCCTCGGCGTGCAACATCCCACTTTGCATGTCTAATCCGGCTTGGAGTAAAGGTGGTGTATAGACGGAGGCGGCAGATGTGCGTGCCGAAGTGAGGGCGGCTCGTCCCTTAGGAATGTTGCCGAGCGCATGGTAGACTCTTGACTCCAGCAGTTGTACCTCGACCAAAACCAGCTTGTCGTCTAGGCGCTTCAACTCCTTGAGCAGGCTATTGATGAGGTTGAGAGCATCGTAGTAGGACTGCTTCTGCATGTAGAGAGACACCAGGCGGGTCTCCAGATTCTGGCGCAAGAATCCCCTCCGCTCCGAGACGGCCCATTCTATACACGACTTGGTCACGGCGATCTGGATATCGGTGGTGTTTGGGATGGTGGTGAAGAGCTCGAGGAGTTGCCGGACTGGAAGTCGATTGTGTCAGTGGCAATATCGAGCACGCGCGGTCGTTCAGCTTCTACTTACCCAGTTTGGCGGTCTTTGCTTTGGCAAAAGACGACAGCACTGACCGTGTTTGCCTAACCAGCTCGGCGAGCGCGTCCACCCTCCTCTGGTCGCGGAACAACTCTCCGAGTCCCACCAGAGCCGTCTCGTAATTCTTGATTGCTGCATCATTCGAGCCCGGGGTTGTCGACAGCACTTCCTTGTATATCTGCTCTGCTTTGGCCGGCTCCGTCTTCGCCAGCTTCTGCGCCTCAGCTATCCTCTTGCTGGTATCCGCAACGGCCATGGCGGGAGGCAAGGAGCCTGATTCGCTGCGAGTATCTTCGGAGGAGAGAGGAGTCAGATTGGGGAAAAAAAAACTGAATGAACTGTAGCGAAAGGCGAGTGGGGGTTGGAGGTCGGATGTTGATGTAGTGGATGTCAATGGAGCTAAGCTTACAATCGACGGCGGGCGATCCGGAGGCCGGTCTGACCCTACTCCGGTGGTGCTTGGCGTTTTCCTCCACCCTTGCCCCAGCAACCCGATGTTTGGCCGTGGTCGAGCTTCAATGGCGGGAGCAAGCCCCACAGCTCACCCGAATAGCTTCAGTACGAATTGATATATTGGAGTTCAAATCTTCGCAGCCAGCGCAGCATTCATCCACCTCTTCCCTCTGTGATTTGACATTTCAAGCAGAGCCGGTTGCGCTGCCCGGGCGACCATTTGATGTGTTGTCGACCCTGCAGCCAATGACCTAACCGCTTGGCCCGTGCGTTCACAGGTGTAAACAATATCAATGCTGCGGCCACTACACCATCCCACCTCACCATATCTCACTCTACGCTCTCATCATTGCCCTCTACTCGGTGTGCGCTGGGTCGCCAAACCACTTTTTACCGTCACGAAACATTCGCTGGTCTTCGAGACTTGAACTCTTGCAATTGGCGTCCACATCATCCCACGCTTGCATTCCAACGTTGCCTTTTCGATCGAAATAGGTTCTCATAAACACAATGGCTTCTTCCGACAGGGATCCCTCGCGGGATCGTGAGCTAGTCAGGCACTCGCATTCTTTCTCCTCAGTACCAATGTACGTAGACATCTGCGACTGCATCTTTACCATCAAGCAATGGACCATTTACTGACGCCTCGTCGTTTTCGTCGTAGGTGGGATAGCTCGGATCCAGAACGTGCTCCCCCTCCATTACCTCTAAATCCAGGCTCGCCTGTCCTCACTACTCGCCCAAATACATCGGCCGCCATCGTCAATGCAGCCAAAGCACTGGAAGAAAAGGCTCGCGAGAGCCTACCCATGAGCTCATACACTACCAATCCTTTGCCACAAAGGTCACCTGAAAGGTCATCTGAACGGTCACTTATCAAGGGCGCACAACATAAGCGGATGCAGTCTCTGCAGACAACAAGTGTGCGCGATCTGAAGAGTTTCCTTGACGGTGTCAGGTCCCCGGAGCGATCACCTGAACGTCCATCGACGCGGTCAGGCACACCGTCCCGGGAGCCAGAGAAGGACTATCTCTCGGCGCGCCACAGCCCCTCTCAGATATCGACACCTACGCCCTCGAGTCGCGATATACTGAAGGACACACCGGCCTTGCGCCCTACATCTCGGCATCTTCAAAAGGCTATTTTGGGCGAAAACACGCCACCGTCGGCCACCATGCTGGCATTACAGACTATGACCGTTCCCCGAGAACTACTCGACCCTCCTATGCCTTCTACGACAACCTCGACTGCGAAAGAATCCCAACCTCCTCCTCAGTTGGAGGCAATCTCCAGCCAACTGCTCAGTATCACCAATATCGTATCCAACCTACAGAAAGACATGACACAGCTTAGCCGGCGCAGTAAGGACAATGCTTCCGACCTCATCAGCTTGAAGGAGGCAACGAGTGCCCGGGACGAGGATATCCGCAAATCTCTCAAGGAGCTTGTGTCAACGATGAACCAGACCGCCAACCTTGTCAACACCCCTGGGGAATTCTCGCGTTCAACCAGTAGCATTGGAATGAAAGACCCGCACATGACTCCGACTAAACAGTTCAGCATGGCGCGTATGACTTCGCCTAGTCCGTTCATGATGGATGAAAGAATTGGGAGCCCGAATCCTTACTCCGTGGAGGGTGCCGCCAGTGTAGCCATGCTTGAGAAGATCATTCGTGAAATGGTTACTAAAGATGGGCAGGAACGGCTTATCGCCAACCTCCAGACTCTGGTCGACAAAGCCACGGGCGAGACTGCGAAGAAGGTTGCTGAGCTAGCAGAGTTCGTCAAGCAGGGTTCCCAAAGTAGCGCTCTCGTGCCTGCTGCTAATTCGGGCATCCCCTCTGCCCAGTCAGCACCAGGCCCTAAGATAATAAGTGGCGATGCGACTTCCCCCTTTCCGCTTCAGAAGGTATCCGAGGGTAACAAGCCATATGCCAGTCCCAAGGCTGCCGATTTCGTCAGTGAAGAGATGCTGAAGTTTCTCCGGAAAATCAAAGATAGTGTCGCGGAGTCTGGCTGCGTAACCATGGGAACCAAGGCTATGATTCAGGATCTTCGAGGGGAGGTGCTCGGTATGGGTCGTGAGCTAGCTCGAAAGCTGGAAGAGGTTGAACGCTCAACGATTGGGGGCAAATCCATTGAATCCGGTCAACCAAATCCCGACATTGCCGCGGTCATTCAAGAGGGTCTACAGGATCTCAAGCAGCACATGGACGAGGTGATGCGTGAACGGAGACGACAATCGATCTCCTCTACGCTTACCCGGAATACCGTGGACAGTCACGAGGTATACGACGTAGTGAAGCATGCTTTGGCAGAGCGCGGATTGGATCAACATGCAGCTCAGCCTCTCCCAGTCGACAAGGAGGCGATCATAGCCGCTGTGCGTGAAGCCAACGAATCCTACAAGCCACATATTGAAGTCGAGCAAATCGGGCTAGAGCGAGACGAAGTCCTCCAGTGCTTGAGAGAGGGATTTCAGGAGTATCGTGGTTCAGGTTCCGTTACCAAAGAAGAGATTGAGCGCACAATCCAGGACGCGTTTCAGCACGTCAAGTTTCCCGAGCCGATCAATGAAGTACACGAAATTCGGGAGGAAGTGCTTATGGCTGTCCGAGAGTGTCTGGAGGACATCAAACCCAATTTTGCACAACCACAGCATCAACTTGATGGCGCCATCCGGGACGTCGTGCTACATGCTATCAAGGAGGGCCTGGCCGATCGTAATGGTCCGCAAGAGATAGAGCTTTCACAGGAGGTGCTCTATGAAGCGGTCAAGGCGGCCCTGGATGCCTCTCCTTTACGGCTTCAAGGTCAGAGCGATGACGTAGTCCAGCATCTGCATGCACTGGTGGACGATATGCACAACGAGTTCAAGGCATATTCCTCGGCCAACGGTCGGGATACGGAGCAGGTCCTTGATGCATTAAAGGACGGCCTTGATACCCTGCGCTCACAGATTGAAGCTTATATCGACAAGGCCCACGACGACACACAAAAAGACGAGGTCATCCAACAGTTACATGGGGAACTCGAGCGCTTACGGGTCGATATCCAAGCCTACGTTGCCGAAGGCCCGCGGGGTGACCAGGCATGGCCCCGGGGAGAAATGGTCGCTTTTATCAAATCTGAGTTTGAGCATTTGCACGAGTCCCTCTCCCAACAGTTACTTCCCACGACTCAGGATAAGGAGGAAATTCTTACAGCACTCAGCGCTGGTTTCGAAGGAATGAAATCCCAGGTTGTCACCCGTGACCTTGATCTGGACACAAACGATGAGATCAATGAGGCAATGAAGGAAGAGTTTGACCAACTAAAACAAATTATCCTTGGCGACACAGCAAGTCGCAAGGACGAAGTGATCCAAGCACTTCAGGCCGGATTTGCTGAAATGAGCGCGAAGTTTGGAGACGGCATATTAGTCAATACTCCAAATGACGACTTGCTGCTATCACTCAAGGAAGAATTCGAACACCTGCGAGAGACTCTGGGAGGGACACTTGTGAGAGCGAATGGCAGTGCGGACAAGGACGACATTATCGACGGAGTGCGTGAGCTCATGGACGGGATAGTCCCCCAAATTACCTCCACCCACGAAAACGCCTCCAAAGCCAACCTCTCAACAATCCTCCAAGAATTGGAAGGCCTCAGAGAATCGCTGGGCTCTACATTGGTACGTGCTGAAGGATCGGACGACAAGAATGATATTTTGGAGACAATCCGATCGGGTTTAGAGGATATTAAAGCGAACGCAAAGTCCATGGACATCAACGAAGAGCTTCTGGAAGCATTCCGTGGTGAACTGGACCAATTGCGCCAATCCACCGGGCTTACACGCCAACATGCTCGAGCTGACACCGAAGAAGTACTGGAAGCTGTCCGACTTGGTCTTGACGACCTTCGATCTCATCTGGAGAAGAAGCTCGACAATCCTGAGAGGCAAATGTCGGCCACGAACGAAATTCTGGATGCCCTGAACGACGGCCTGGAAGGTCTCCGAAATGATGTCACGAAGACAATCAATAAGCCCGTTGATATGACGGTCTCTTATGAGATCTTGGATGCCCTGAAAGACGGAATTGCGACCCTCCGCGAGGATATTGCTACTCTGAAGAGCAAAACCGAGCCAACGCCTGAAGAAGAGAACACACCAACAGGAAATGAGGTTGTTCTGGCGGAGGCCCCAGAGACGATCGCCAACCGAGACATCGTTGCGAATCCCGTGCGTCGCAACGACTTCGAGAAGATGGAAGTCATGCTTTCGCAAATTCAAGTCAAAGTCGAAGCGATGGACGCGAACATACAGAATCCGGCTCACGCCCAAGAAACGGCCGCCCCGCAATCCACGCCACTGGCAGACGAACTGACCAGCATAGAGCAAATGCTGAAAGATCTGCAGGCATCGGTCGTCCAGCTGCAGGAGCGCGAATTTGCAATCACTCTCGAAGGAATGGCCACCAAGGAAGACACTGATGCTATCGAAACGCTTCTGGACAACCTGAAGGCGAAGATTGAAGAGTTGAACCTTCCTGATCCTGAAAAGATGGTTTCAAAAGACAACTTGGATGATATCGAGTTGATCGTTCGCACAACCTCAGAATCTCTTGAGGCATTGTCTCAGAAAATCTCAGAAGAAGGTGCGACCAAGGGTGACGTCGCCGTTGTCCAGGTGATCGTTGATGATATCAAGCAAGCTCTGGATGAGATGAAGACTGCAAAACCGGATGAGGAAGAGAAGATCACCAAGACTGACGTGGATGATTTGGCTGCGCTTGTCTGCGACATCAAAGCGAAGGTCGATGACATGAAAATTCCTGATAGCGACGAGCTTCCTTCCAAGGCTGATGTTGAACAACTCATTGGTCTCTTACACGACTTCCGGGAGAGCCATGACAAGTTGAAGGAGACATACGAAGAGGACATCATGAAGACGGCCAAGAACTTTGACGACCGCAAAGCCGAAGCCCAAGGCCTCTCTGATACGATCACTGAGGTCAAGGTGATTTTGGACGAAGTCAAGGACGAAATTAAGGCAGGCTTGAGCGAGGGGGGGAGTATAGAGAGCCTTCGGGAGTCGTTCAAGAATCTGGAAGACGCTGTCGCCCTAAACTCCGGCCTTAGTGCTGATGTCAAGGACCTCATGGAGACAGTCTCTCGCGAATTCGAGCGTGCGCAAGGTTCCATCGAAGGTTTGATGAATGGCCAAGAGGAGAAATCCACTCTGGCGCTTGAGAAACAGGACGAAGCAAAGGAGGCTATCATTGCGGAAGTTGCCACAAAACTTGATGAACGGTTTGATACTCTTATGACCAAGTATGATGATGCACAGCTTCTTGCCGAAGAACAGACCAAAGTCATGAAAGAAAAGGCGGAGGAACAGGAGAAGATCCTCGAAAGCACGAGGGCAATGGCTGATGAACTTCGACTTACAATCGATACTCTTGGTGCTTCAATCACCGGCATGAATGATAGATATGAAGAAGCAACTCAGAAGTGGGCGACTGACTATTCAGCAGCCGTGTTTGGGAAGATCGACGATGCTGTTGCTAAGCTGGAGGAGCAGAAGATGGAGGAAAAGACGGAGCACTCGCATACAAGGGACGAGATTGCGAACATCGAGCGCATATTTAACGGTCTCCAGGACAACATCACCGAGTATCATCCTAAGTTCATGGTCATCCTTCGCGAGATCGAAGCCCTTGTCAAGCAACACTATGACCACGCGCAGAAGGCCAAGGAAGCTGCGGAGGAGCAGGCCCGGCTTATGAACGAAGAGGCTCGTGCCAGGGCTGAAGAAGTAGCCAGACATCTCAACAGTCTACCCGCATTGCTTCCCCCACCGCCTGCACCCGTCGAAGCCGTGGAGAAGTACGACGATGCCCAAGTGCAGGAGAAGTTGGACAGACTCATCGGTCACATTAGTGATGCAGAGAAGTCTGGAGCACACCTGGAGCGTCTTGATGAGATCCACAAGCAGGTCAAGGCTACAGCAACCGAGATAAGCGAGTTTGTGGCCCGACAGACTCAACTGGTTACGGACGGTAACGAAGCCAAAGAGCGAGAAGCGGAGGGGGTTGCACTTCTTCTGGAGCGGCGAATGGCACAAAAGGAGCAACTCGAGGCAGATATTGCCGAGTTGAAGGCTGAGAAAGAGCGTGTTGTGAGAGAGCTCAAGGAGGAGAAGGAACGTGTGTTGGCGGAGATCAAGGAAGAAAAGGAACGCACGGTACTGGAGTTGAAGGAGGAGAAGGGTGCTTTGCTTTCCGCCGTGGCCGCGTTGCAAGCGGAGCGTGAGAACCTCGCCAACCAGAAAGTGCGTCTCACTGGTGAAGTCTCCTCGCTCCACACTGCCTTGGAGATCCGAAGAGAGGAATTGCACTTGATGGACGCCAAGGCTGATGCATTGGAACGACGCATTCTCAACGGCATCATGGATCACTCTCGTGCTCTGATGATGGCCAAGGGAACATCAAAGAGTCCCATCAAACCCAAGAAGCGCATGAGCGTTGATGCCATCGGCGACAGTGCCAAAACGATGGCTCCTCCCAGTACAGCAGCGAACGGACTCTCCTTAGCGTTGAAGCCTCGTCCAGCAGTCCGTCGCAACGGTCCCGTGCAGAATCCGACTCGCCGCATTCTTTCTCTCAGCCAGATCAACCCAAACACTGCTGCCGGTGCTCAAGAATTTCCCAGAATGGGCAACTCAATGGGAAACAATGCCAATTTGAAACGCAGCCATTCCGTTAAGACGAATTATTTGCGCAAGTCGTCGTGGAATGGCAAGCCAATGACCGCAGTGGTAGACAAGGAGAATGAGGTCCTAAGCGAGGAGGACGAGACCGAAGAAAAGATGAACCCAGTTGAACCAGAGTTGAAAGAGAACCTCCCTGTAACTGACGAGAACAACCAAGAAGACAGCCACAGCGACGCCGGCACTGAACGCCGCCATAACGTTGCAGCAAGCTCCTACGCCGAGAGTTATGCTGACGGTGAGAACCCTAGCCTTGACGGTCGTTCTAGTTACGGGGGAGCTGGAAGTGAGTATACGTACGCTTCCGGGTCGTCGTACATGACTGGCAGTGACATGGATCGGCGCACATCGTACGGCTCAACAGCTGCGCGGTCCACCCTTCTGGACGACAATCATACGATCAACGAGGCAAGTGAAGATGATGGCTCGGAAGAGGAAGACGATGAACCCACGCAGACGCTCGCAGCCTCCGAAGCCCCACAGTCTGAAGCCAAAGGTTTCGAAGTCACGTCCTCGGAGGTCACGGCGTCAGAGGTGTCGACCAACTTGCTTCCCACGCAATCTGAGATCGAGGCCGCAGTCGAGGCGGTCAAGGAGGAAATGATGAGGGGTTATGCGGCGCCGAGCGATTCGGGCGTGGGGACGGATTTGGCGACGGCGCAGTTGGGGCATGAGAGTGAAGCGGATTACTTCAGGAGGGCGGCGGAGGAGGAGAGCACGGTTGGGTGAGGGAGATGGCTGCTTTGATGATTTCGTCGGAGACGTAGTGTCGCCGCTGCTTGGTTGGTGTGCTTGAGGTACCTCTTCCGGGGTACCTCCTACGGCGTGCCTCCCACCTGTGGTGACTTGCTTGCTGGCCGGGTTTCTTGATCGTTGAGGAACAGGATGGGGATCGGTTTTCGGGATCGATTCTTTGGGAAGTGCGCAGTTGGCGCGGGGATGTGAAATTGGGTTTTCTAAGGATTCTGGGTTTTCTTTTCCTGGCGGCTCTACTAGGTATCATGGCTAATGATGATTTCTTTATCTCTCCTGTCCGTCCTGTCTTCTTGCTCCTCCTGTGTTGCATAAAAAACGTGGAAGTGAACATCAATGTGAAAACCATACCATATTCCTACAACGCACCATCTCCAATTCGAAGAATGTAACCCTTCATAATTCCCAGCCTGTCATTGCCGCGAGAGCTCTGCCTGGTTTTCGAAACAAAAGGGTCCCAGTTGGTATGGGGATACCGACTGGTTACGTCCATCTTCGCCATCTGAGTGGAAATCCATCATTCATGGGGGAGCAGAAACGACGGTCCAAAGACAATGGCGTTTAGTTCGTGCCGTTTCCCTTAGCTATTGTGGAGAGAGAGGGGAGGATTTGATCAGAAGAGGGGGTCAATGTGTCGATCAGGTAGCACAAGCAACAGCGTACAGCAAGAACCCTTCCGTCCACATCAGCCACTCAAAAACTTCGTATGGCTTCCTTTAGCCACCACAGGCCACTCAGCCTCCTCCTTCCCCTCCACCACCTTCCGGATCGTGACATTCGTGAACGCCATTCTCTTCCCCACCTTATCCACCTGCGCCTCAATCTCCACAACCTCGCCCTCCCGAGCCGTCCCTAGGTACGACACATGGATGTCCGTGCTCACGCCCGTCTTGTCTCGCAGATCGTACGCGGCGATTGCCAGGCCGCCGGCCCAGTCGACTATGGTGGCAGAGACGGAGCCGTGGAGGGAGGAGTGCGAGTTTAGGTGGTTGTGGGATAGTTGGAGGCGAGCGCGGATGGTGCCTTTGGAGGCGTAGATGAGAGTGGTGGAGGAGAGGAGGAAGGTGTAGATTGGGGAGGAGGTTAGGCGGGTGGAGTGGAAGAATTGGACGTGTGCGAGTGTGGTGGGATCGGAGGGGGGATGGGGTGACATTTGAGGAGAGTGGAGGGGAGGAAAGAAGGGGCGTCTGGTTAAGGGAATGAAGGTTTCAATTGCGCAGGTGGGAAGGACAGCAGTTTATGACTGAGCGAATGTTTAAATGACGGAACAAGGGAATAGAAGAGAGGTTACGGAGACGAGATGAGGATGGTTGATGGTTGAAGTGTGGGTGGACATCGCGAAGTTTATTGGAGATCGACGGATTTGACGAATCGGAGACTCGTTTTTCCGTTTCCCTGGGGATGGTGAGACCTCAGGAGAGTGGTGTGACGGATTACGTTCACGGATGCTTTGCTGAAGCTACATGCGTGTATTTCTAACGTTTTCAATGTCATGCCCTCTTGAAGTTTGTTCCAAGATTTTCACCTCGATGTGCGCGTGGACGCCTCCGGCCTCAATATGAGCGAGCCTATTCAGACGTGCCCGAGCGCCCCAGATGAACCTCCCCCTGACACCCCGCCGGCATCAACCTCGAAAGTGGCCCGAGAAGATTCGAAAGATGAGCAGGAAAATCCCTTTGCGCCGACCCTAGACTTGAAATCGCTCACGGACCGCACGTTGCGCTTCTTGGCGACCGCAAGCAATGAAACACTCGGCGCCTGTCTCGTAGGGCTCGGAGCGGGAACGTATATTGTACTGGGAAGAGTTGGACTGATACTGATTGGAGTTGTGGGTGGTGTGGTGCTACATGCGACTTGGGAGGGTAGTCTAGCTGTCAAAGATGGGGAAAGGGTACCAAAAGAGCTGAGGGTAGATGTTGCACGCAGACTGCTGGATTGGAGGGGGAGGGATACTTCCGAGAAGAAGGCAGTGGACAACGAGGACGTACAAGTAGATCTGAAGCTTCTCACTGGAAGGGAGCTGGATTACTCGGACTTTCGACCAGAGACTGCCGCTGCATTAACGGACCTTACCGACGCCGTTATCAGAGACTACGTCAAGTATGTATACAGAATAAGGGAAAGGAGGAGACTTGGAGACTTACCTTGCGCAGATGGTGGTATTCACCCATTCTACCCTCCGAACCCACCTTCCCCGCAGAATGTCGCCAAACTCTGACCGCATTCATGATTTCCGTATCTTCTCATCTTTCACGAAAACGACCTGCTGATAGTTTCGTCGACTTCGTTACGCGCTCTTCGTCCTTTATGATCATAATCTTCCAAGAACTGTCTGTCGCCCTGGCCGCGTCTCCGAGCGCATCGGTCGCTGAAGCCGTGGACGGTTATCTCGAAATGAATCCAGAGTGCACATTGGGGAATATCCTGGACAACAAGTACCAACAGAAACAGTTTGACATGGCCGCCGATGATATACTGCAGAGCTACTTGGACCCAAAGACATACAACTGCAAGCCGGCACAAGTATTCCTCCGGCAAATACTAGCGAAGGTTGTCTTGGAGAAAATCGTCGTGAGCTGCTCAAAGCCGGAGTGGATCAACAGCTGGATTGTATACCTACTCGAAGAAGGCGAGCCGGAGCTCATGCATGCGATTGATGCTGGGGTTGAAGAGTCCTCTGGCCAGTTGCAGAACGTGAAAAGTGCTGTTGATAAGGAGGAAAAGCTGGCAGAGGAAGCAGCGACTTCGGAGCAAATTCGGCGTAATCGTGCTGTCAGCAAAGCGCAAGAAGCTATGGATGAAGCTATGCGGGAGGCACAGCGTCTGAGCCAGATGATTGCTGATGAGGAAGCAAGAAAATTGAAAGAGCAGGAGTGTGCTTTGACTGCCAGCCTGCATGATGATAAATCCGAGAGTACGACACAGGGGGTTGTTACGCCGACTTCATCACAGAGCGAGACATTGGGCTACTCCGATGCCGCGGACCTGGGCATATCGAATGTACCGGCTCAAACTCCCTCACAGATTAATGCGTCATCACCGACCAAGGCAGAGGACTCGCCAAAACAGGAGGCCAAACGCGCCTTTACAAGTTTCGACCAGATCGTGCCGAACCAGCCTCCCACAGCACTGATGGCCAACCCACCTCCACCATTGACTCTTCACAATTGCAAAATCTCAATTTTTGATGATTCCGTACCAGGAGAGAAGGGCAATATCAAGAGCAAACCAACGGCAGAATACTTGATTCAGATTGAGCCCGCTTCGAATCACTATTCCGGATGGATGACGGTGCGCAAGTATACCGACCTTGAAACGTTGCACGAAGTCCTGCGAAGGATAGCAAACATTACAGGTACCTTTGGCTTCACGGAGGCACACTCGACGCTTCCCGTCTGGAAAGGTCATACCAAGTCTTCTTTGCGAGGGGAACTGGAGCGGTATCTCAACGATGCTGTGAAGTATAAGCCTCTTGCGGAAAGCGAGGGTATGAAACGGTTCTTAGAGAAAGAGTCACAAGTCAGCAAGTCGCCTGGGAAGGGATTTCCTGGTATTGGTTGGCCGGGGCAGACCTTCGAGACTATGGGAAAGGGCATGATTGATGTATTGACGAAAGCGCCTAAAGAGGTGGCAGGAGGAGGCAAAGCGCTCCTTGGCGGTGTGACGGGTGTGCTTAACAGCGTTGCGACGCCGCTTGGAGGTGCAAGGAGGAATAGAGAGTCGGTTCCCACCGATATAGGAACCGTGAACCGCGCAACAACAGCGCCGAGTCCATCCGCGCAACAGCCCATACAAAATCGCCACGGTCGTGCGGAGAGCACGGTGTCCGAACTGCCCACCCATATCAGAACCGAAAGTATTATGTCATCTTTCAGTCGCCGCACTAGCACCGATTCCCTTCGTGTACCCAACTCACCCATCATTGACCAACAGCCCCAACGTGAGGCTCCAATGGAGCGCCGACCAAGCTTGAATCCGGATGGGGATGGGAAGCGCTCTAATCGTTCTTCTGTCTACGGTTCACGAAACAATAGCCGTGCTCCCTCTGTTCGCGCAAGTATGGATCTCTCGCCCGTCATGGGCGGAGATCAATTACTGAATCTACCGCCTATGCCGTCGGATATTCCAGATGATTATGTCGGAAACGAGCCGCAACCTGCGCTCAAGATGTCGTCATCTACGACTTCGCTGCTTTTCCAGAATGCCAGCGATATTCCGCCTCCACTTCCCCGGCGAACATCAGCAACGAGTCTGACATCACCTTCGTCCCTCAACAGATCCCATCCTCAACCTTCAAGAACTTTCCCAACGCACTCCAGTCACAAATCCGCTCCAAAACAACGCAAACCGCATGCGCCTCTCACCACTCAGGAGACCACTGTGCTTATCGAGCTTTTCTTTGCCCTCACACAAGAACTCTACACTCTTTCCTCCGCATGGCAAATACGGCTTACCCTCCTCTCAGCCGCAAAGTCCTTCCTCCTCCGTCCTGGAAACCCACAACTCGCTTCTATCCAGCAGCTCTTGCAATCAACTGTCCTTGACGCAAATACTTCCGATAGCGCGATTGCTTCCTATATCCAAAAAGTCCGACAGAACGCACTGCCGACGGAGGATGAACTCAAGGCGTGGCCGGCCGAGATGGACGAGGCTGAGAAGACGAAGCTGAGAGAGAAAGCGAGGAGGTTGCTTGTGGAGAGGGGAATGCCCATGGCACTGACGAGCGTCATGGGGCAGGCGGCGAGTGGCGAGGCTCTCGGAAGGGTGTTTGATGCGTTGCAGGTGGAGAAGGTGGCGAGAGGGTTTATGTTTGGGCTTGTGGTGCAGGGGTTGAGAGGGCTTACGCAGTAAGCTAACGATGATGGTAGATCCAAAGGGCTTGAAATGATGATGATCGGCATGGGAGTGCTGTTTTGTTCTGGTCATAGGTTACGGATTGGTGTGGCATGGCACATATGGGCATGGATTGCTATGGGGGTTCACCGCGATGAATCTCTTGTTAGAGGATGACTTAACTTTGCCAGCGCTGTATGTTGCTTTGGTCTTCTGTGGCTCCTGCGGTGCGGTGCCGCATGTATAACTAATGTATTATATCTGAATTTTTTGATAATGACTGGCCTTGCCAGTGGCCAGTTACTTGATAGTCGACTAGGAGGAGTTAAGAGAAGCAGATGGATTAAGACTAACAGTTTAACTGTCGGAATATTGATCAAAACTCTTAACGCAAAGAGAGAGGGCAGCCCGTGTTTTCTTGAGCGCGTAGAGTACCCTAGATAAGCTTTAGGATTTTGAGATACTACTACGGTACTTTTACATATCTTTTGTCCCCTCGTTTATAATTACAGTTAATATCTCTCCCCTTTCGACCTCAACGATTTGTACTTATCTCCTCTCCGCTCCCGTTCCAGCAAGTTTACTCATATCTCAGACTCCACTCAGTTCCACACCACCAATCCACACCTTCTTGATTTTTCTCGTAGCTTTGATATCCGCAACCGGATCGCCCTCTACCAGCACCAAGTCCGCCCTCATACCCGGCCTGATTACACCCCTATCCCTCAATCCAAAATACTTCGCTGGTAGGTTGGTTGCGGCTCGCAACGCCTCAGCATTGCTCATCCCGGCCTCAACCAGGTTTTCCATCTCGTCGTGGATGCTGGTGCCAAAGGAGACACCGGCGGGAACTCCGGGAGCAAGGTTGGCGTCTGTGCCTGTGAGGATGGGGACCCCTAATGGATTGGAAGATAGATTAGCTTGTGTTACTTCGTTGGTATGTGAGCGAAACAGGAGGGGAAATACAGTTGAACGTAAGAGCTGCCATGAGGAACTTTTTTTGACATGATGTTATAGTTCGAGTGAGTCAAGGATACGACGTACCGGCTTTGTGCAATGAGCGTACTGTCTCCAGCGAGGCTCTGAAGTTGTATTTCCGCGCGTTATTCTTCGCAGTCGTCCGCATCATGGTAAGGGTAGGAGTGACGACCTGCCGGTTGCGCAGTATAGCTTTGATCATGGACGCTCCTATCGGTTTATCGAGAGGTGCGTGGTGTATATGGTCGGATTTCGCAAGAATAGCCTGACCATACGCTTCAAACATCGAGGCATGAGTAATTGTCGGTTTACCCACGCGGCGAGCGGCTTTAACTAAACTGGTCAACGTGTTCTGAGACAGGCCTGGGGTTTCCGCGACGAGTTTGAAGTAGTCTGGATTCGAAGCTAGTTGTCGATGCGTCCAGGTTGGCACTTCTGAAGTGCTGTTTATGAGGATGGATCCTAGTGATGGGTCCACCCGGGCGGTTATATTGCCGTGAGCACTATTTGGTGCGGAAGCAGGGGCGCTGGAGAACAAGAGTGAGGGAAGCCCATCGTTGCCTTTGCCTCCGAGCGAAGTGCACATCTCAGCCGAGTAACATGCCATTACATAGCCAGTGGTGACGCCATTTTTGGCCAGGGATTCTAGATCGGAGACGTTCATTGGGTGGATGTGGGCGTCTATGAATCCAGGAAGGAGGACGGCTCCTCTCCCATCGATGTGTTTAGCGTTGGTCGCGTCGGTACCTATGAAGGTGCCGTCGATTATGACGGTGGTAGGTCGTGTGAGTTTGTGGCCATCGAACACACGGACGTTGTCTAAAGCGATCTTTTGCGGGGAATGGTAAACGGAATGCCGCTTTGCGAGGGCGCCTCTATTTGAGGAAGCGAAAGAAGAGAGGTCTTGCAAATCGCCAGCGTAAGGGAGTCCGCAGGCGGTGATTGCTTTGATTAGAAGAGCATTGCTTAGGAGGAAAGCTATGATCGGATTAAACGGCATGATGTTAGTGTTGTCAAAAACGAAACGAGCGTTTGGAGTAGGATTGGAAGCAGAATGATTGAAAAGAGTGAAGGGCAGATGTCGGCTCGAAGATTGAAGAAGAATTAAGTTACTTATTGGATTCTACCGATAAATACAGATATAGGGGTAGAAGAGCTACATGGACCCTCATTACCAGCGGGCAACCTGGACTCTGGTATACGGTGTAAAGGGGGCGAATAATGGGATGCTGCGACTACCAAGTAGTTGGACTAACGACGTGACGGGCCTTGACGGTGAACGGTAATAGGATGGGAGGGATGATAAACACCGATCGGGATTCGGAATGCGGCGCCGTTGGTCGCCATTCGGGTGATAAAATCCTTCCGAGAGTTAAAATTGCAAAGTACAGACGTCACCATCCGCACAGGCAATGATGTACGTGTTTCTTCAACGCCCGACTAAACATGCGCGTACTCCCATTAACGTCAAATCACCCACTTCAATGAATCCAATTGGCTGGAATCGTCTGGCCACTGAAGAGGCGTGTTCGAGGCTTACAGTTCCTTCCTAAAAGCGCTTTAAGCTAATTACAACATCAGAATTATCCCTGCGACCCTTGGGTGTTCAGTCGGACTTGCAGGATCCGGCATCTCGACATGGTCCTTCACATGGATGAGTACGGGAAGTGTCGCGAAGCATTATGAGAAACCTTGAGTTCAGATAACACCCCAAGAAGGCTGCACACTAAATTAGAGGCCTAGAATCCAACGCCTTAGCACAGTCGCGATGTTAGTGCTATCTTTTCTACATTTCCCTCTTTTTATCTCCGAAAAAGGAGCTGCATTCTAGATAAAGGAGCAGTTAGGCGTTACGCTTATGGTTAGAAGGGTAAGTGTTCGTGGTTAGGAGGGTTAGGGCTTGTACAGTCTCCGTTTTCCTGTGCGGTGTAGGTGTTTTCATAGGGTGGTCCCCATTAACTCGTGGGGTGGTGCTTAATACCTATATACCTCCCAGAATCATGATCTAAATGGTCGACACAATCCGTGACTGGAAGGCAATGCCAATCCCCTATAACGTAACGGATAAGCGGGTTCCGCATATATCAAATTCCAGCTTGCGAAGAGAGGTCAAGCCTGAAGAATATCTAAAGAAGGTGGTAGGGATACAGCCTCACACGTCGAGGTTTTCACAGCTTGATCGAACCTACCTTTCTGTTCTAGAGCAGCAGAAGGAAGTGCGGCTACACGCATTCCATGTAGGGTGTCGGATAGACGCATCGCATTTTTTGACGACGTCCGTATGCCTATGGCGGTTCGCGTCTGTGTACTGTTTCTTCCTTCGATCAATCATCTAGATCTTGTGAACGAACGGGATTGATATAGTGGAGACGCACATGTTAGCATTCTCAGTCAGTCAGCCCACCCCTCACCCTCAACCCCCTCCCCCAAACCCACAGCACTCCCGTCACCGGAACCCCCAGCCCCAGCCCCATCAATCCCAACATCGTATTCCCCCAGCCATACCCCATCGCGTTATACATGGTCGGCGCAAACAGCGGGAACAAAAACGCCGTCAAACTGCTCGCGAACTGCGTCGCCGCCATCGCGCTACTCGTATGCTCAGGATATGCATCGATGACGTACGCCTGGAGCGCCATGCTGCGAATCTGCATGCCGAATGTGGTGAGGAAGATACCGGCGTCGACGGCGATCCAGTGGGTGCGGTGGTGGGCTGTCCACCCGTACAGGAAGAGTCCGAGCGGTGCGATGAACGCACCGGGGAAGGTGAGCGGGATGCGGTGTTCCGGCTCTAGATGCTCGCGGTCAGGATGCCGAGCTTTGGTGCGGCGGTAGAAAGCGTCCATTAGGGGGCCACCGAGTTGGCTGCCAGCCACTTCGCCGGCTGCGCAGGCGATGTAGTGGAGGCCGCTGAGCTCGACAGAGAAGTGGTAGTGTTGCGTCCAGAGGTCTGCGAAGCTGGAGAGGACGATGTATAGGACACCGTAGTAGAAGGCGGATACGAGGGAGGTGATTTGGATGATTGGGTGGAACAAGAGCAGACGGAGCGGACGGGTGAGGGCTTTTGTGAGGATGGAGAGAAGCGAGGTTTGAGAGTCCATGCGCTCTTGAAGAGTGTAGTATTGCATATCACCGGTCTTGCGCCGTAACTTCTCGGCTCGTCGCTTGAGAATGTGAACGGCGTGTGTTTCGCGGAAAGCGGTGAAGGAGACGAGCATCATGCTGGCTTGGAAGATGGACGTGGACCAGAACATCCATCGCCAGGTTGTGCGACCAGCCATGAAGCCTCCAATGATAGGTCCTAGCACAAATCAGCATCATAATCACTCTGTAGTGGGAGGGTTTTGGGAACTTACCAACCGCGGCCCCAAGCAGCGGAATCAACAGATACACGCCCAAACTCCTCCCCCTTTGCTCCGGCCTCCACACATCCCCCAACACACCTCCCGCAAGCGCATACGCACCACTAGCCCCAAGTCCTGCCAGAAACCTACTTGCAATAAGCACCTCTTTCGTCCGCGCAAACCCACACAGCACATTCCAAACCAAAAACCACACATTCGACGCATGCAATATGCGCTTCCTTCCATATACCTCTGACAGTGGACCAATAAGGAGCGGCCCAAACGCAGTCGCAAGGAGATATATGGACAGCGCCATGACGGCTTGGGGGGAGTTCATGTGCAGTTCGTGGGATATGGTGGAGAGTGCTGGTGCCATAATGGTGGATACCATGATGCGGTTGAAGCCCGTGGCCGAAACCACGTCTGTGACGGCCCATTTGCGGCTTGTGGGCCAGTCTTTAGGGTTGGAGGTGTCGATGGGTTGGGTGAAGTCTACAAGGAAGGGGTCGTTGGATTCGTCATTTTTGATGGGTTGGGGGACTTGGGCTAGTTCAATGGTGACTGGGATATCTTGCGTGATTTCGTCGCGCGCAGCGACTTCGTTGGATATTGAAGTCATTGGGACGTACTACGAAAATTTGGAGGGGAGTTCCAGCGAGGTTGAGACGAGAGTCTATATGAGATGTGGGCGGCAGGCGGCAGGCGGCAGGCGGCAGGCGGCAGGCGGCAAGGAAGATCTGATAAGCCTGAAACGTGAAGGATTCACACCCATCGAGGTCAGACTTTGGACCTGCCCACTGTAGTAGACTAACAAGGGTAAATGTTTGAAAGTCCCCCTATTCCCGGAGGAGCGCACCGATTACAGACGGTTGCTGCAGGGTGTGTGTAGAAACCTGCCTTGCAAAACGGCAACATTAGAACAAATTTTCCGCTTAGAATTACAGCTCTAATTTTAAAATACTGTTTTGTTGCAACAAGAAAAGACCTCAATTAAGGTCTTTTTTAGTACATAATTCTTGCTATACAGCCTGCAGGAGGCTGTAAATGGAACTAGAGGTGCGTCTTGTTGCAATAAAACAGTATCTTTAATTTAGAGCTGTAATTCTAAGCGGGGAATTTGTTCTAATGTTGCTGGTCTTACGATCTATGCCCGGTTCCAACTTAGATCGGCACAAACTTGACTCGAACAGTACAAACTGCACACGGCAACGTCAAAGTGTGCAGCATAATGCGTTCAACGCTCCGAAGAATCGAAAACCACGATGTTCAGACCGTGATATTGTAGAGTCGTGAGAGGACATCTACGGATGAGGTTGATTTAAGAGAAGACGCCAGAGCCAAAAGGGCTTAGCTGCTCGGACTTTTATCTGCACCCGCGAACTGGAGTCGCAGTACTGCAGCTTCTGCCCCATTGATACCTTCCCTCCCATGCGTCCATCTTATCTTCATCCGATCCAATGCTGATTCCGACATCACCAAGACGTTCCAAACTTTCTGTCCCGTATTCAATAATGATGAGACCGGCTCGCAAAAACGTTGTATATCTCGACTCCGACACGTACCTCGGCTCATGCCCCACACCAAACAGCTGTGCCCTACGGTTAGCAACACACGTCTCCCACGACTACAGTTATCTACCACATTTTCTGGAAGTCCGGAGTCTTGAACACCAGCTATACTAAATATTCCAAAATGGCGTCCCCAGTCCTTGAGTTCAACTACGACGTCCGTCCTCTCCCAATCTCTCCCTTTGTTCCTGACTAATTATAACCACCCATAGATTTCCTGCCCCTTCGCCTACATCGCCTCCACCCGAGTGGAAGCCCTCGCTCAACGCACCTCCGCAACGTTAATCTGGCGCCCCGTCCTCCTCGGCGCTATCTACCGTGCCACATCCGCTCCCCAAGGTGCTGCTGGCTCTGCCTCCGATGTCTACAACCCTACCAAGAAAGCTGTAACGGCGCGGTCGATGCAACGAACCCTCAAGCGCTATCAAATCGAATTTAACCAACCGCCACAGCATTCTAGGAAGAGCGTCAATGCATTGAGGTTGCTTCATTACGTGGGTCAGGAGCAGAGGCCGAAGCTTTCAAAGGCATTGTTTAGAGCGTACTGGGTTGAAGGCAGAGATGTTGCTGATTCGAAAGTGTTGCTGCAAATTGTGCGGGAATGCGGTATCAGTGGGATTGACGAGAGTGTCTTCAGATACGCACGCGCCAGAAAATTCTTGGAGGAGGCAACTGCAGAAGCCATTGAGCGCGGTGCTTTCGGTGTCCCGGGATTCTGGATTCCCCAGGCGAAATGGGCTGATGCCAACGGTGAGGAGCACGTTGGCCGGTTCTACTGGGGCCAGGACCGAATGCACTTTGTGGAGGGGACATTGCTTGCAATCAAGAATGGTGGGCAATGGAAAGATGTCGAAGGGTTGAGGAGCCTGCTTCCTCGATGCATTGGATCGAATAAGCCTCCGGCAAAGACTCGTGTGGAATTCTGGTATGACTTCAGCTCTCCTTGGGCATATCTGGGATACACGCAGCTTCAACGTCTTCAGCGCACGTTTGGCCCTGATCTAGAGGTGGTTATGAAGCCCTTCTTGCTGGGTATTCTGTTCAGAGAGTGAGTCCCATTCATACTATAATAGCACAGCTACTAACATCCAGCTCAGAATCGGCGCGCCTAACCTCCCCATGGCCGCTGTCTCGGCCCAGAAAGCCGCTTGGTCCCGTCAAGACCACGCCGACTGGGTCTCGTTCTGGAACGCCGTCAACGAGCAAGAAGGCCGTCCCGACAAGCCCATCAACTTCCACTGGGCATCCATCTTCCCCATCCGCACCCCTACCGTTCTCCGCTGCGCAATGGCCGATCCAAACTGCGTTCCAGCATTGTGTAAGTGGCCGATTTCTAGTCATCAGCAGATTAGCAAAATGCTGACATATCTAGACCGCGCCTGCTGGGAACAAGACGCCAACGTCTCCGACGACAACGTCCTCTCCTCCGTCCTCACCGCCGCGGGGTTCAACGGTCCCGAACTCCTCAAACGCGCCAACGCCCCCGCAATCAAGACCCAGCTCCGCGAAGCCACCGCCGAAGCAAAGGCCGTTGGCATCTGCGGCGTCCCGAGTTACCGCGTGTTCAGGCAAACGGAAACCGGGGAATGGAAAAATTTAGGAGGGATTGTGTGGGGCCAGGATCAGATGGATGTTGTGGAGGATTTGATTGCGGGTTGGGATGATGAGAGGTCGGATTTGAATTTGAAGGCGGAGCCGAGGAAGGTGCAGTTTGGGAAGATGGGGGCGAGGCTATAGGGACTTGGTCATGAAAACCATGGCGGAAATACGCCGTCTTTAAATCTCCCGTAGCCTGAATACCGATCACACGGGAACCTTTCAGGTGGCTCAAGAAGAATGGTCACATGCAATGTGCGCTAATGAGCAGATTCTCTTCAAAATTACGTCCAGATATTGCGTCCGGAAAAGTTCGCGAGCTCTGCAACACCACGCTCTATCGTACAGTACGACTATTTAGTTTTGCCGCTGACCACCACATTCCCCTACATCTTACTCCAACAGCACATCCAAATCTCTCCTCCCACCTAACCATAGTTGAACGGGTTCCTGCAGAGTGGACAACTGCTCCCTCCACTCGTCTTAAACCACTTGAACAAACACCCACCGTGAAACAGATTCTTACAGGTCGAGCACCGCTTATCCGGCAACTTCTTATCACTCCCCACAATACTATAGCAAATCGCGCACTCTGTCATACCCTTGATTGCTCCCTCCACATTCCTCTTAAACGTAGTGAGCGCATCAATCAAGCTACCATTGAAAATAGTAATGGCTCCGAGTGAGGTGCGCAGCCATGACTGCCATCTTTGTTCGTTGACAGCGACGCGGTTGATGCCTTCGATGATGGCGTTGGAAAGGGGGAATGCGGGAGGGAGAGTAATGCGCATGGACATTGTTTGTTCGTCGACGACGTAGGAGGTTATTATCTCACGGGTGCGATGCGAGACCTTGACGGTAAAGTCGGACTCTGTTTCAGTCTCGGAGAGCGAGTTGGCCCATTCGCTGACGGAGTTGAGGGCGGCGGTTATGACGGGGGGTGATACCTGAGGGAAAGTTAGGATCGTCTTCGTCAGTCTAAGGGGACGTGAACGCACGTATTTCTCTGTCCAACCTTCAAGAGTTACCACCACAGGGCGGGACTTGCAGTCTTTCCACCACGCCTTTGTTAATGCCGGAATATGCTCCAGGCAGAGGAAGTAAAGATGGGTGAGTAACCACTGAGCATCGCGCCTCGGAGGCTCCACATCAGGAACGTACGTCGTGATGTCCAGCTTGGATACATCCGCAGGCTTACTTTTAGAGTGTCCAAGGAAATCGAACGTAAAATTGAGCAGGCCAGGAAGGTAATCACCTTCTCGAATATGCTCAATATAGTCATTCTTGACTTTGAAGGACTGAACCCAACGTTAGCAACGATCGGATATAGCAACGACAGGACTGACAGAGTTTTCAAAGTGGTCAAAGACAAGCAACCAGCTTAGCAGATAGCCTCTTAATGGAAGAGGTACGTTTCGCTCGAAAGTGGCATCTGCCAACGCCGCAACGGTGGGGGCCTCAATGATCAATGAAAGAAGCTCTTCAGGCAGCCGAGCAGTTGTTTTCTCCAACGCAGCCTCGATAGATATCTTCTCTTGCGCAGCGGGAATTTGCTTGTGCAAAATATCAAATGCGGTCTGCTGCACAGGCTGAGACTCCACATACAGGAGCGGAAATAGATCCTCCATCGATTCCAGATTCTTGAGTGACAGTTTCGCGATCTGTCTTGCAAGGACTTCATTGACGATCTTCAGAGGCTGGTGAAAATCATCTGAGAAGTGTTGAGAGTGCTTGAGGAGGTTGATGAGACCCGCTGCCACGTCTTCTTCTGACTCCTTCCAGACATCCACCAGGTCATCGTTCGGATCCTCGGAATGGACCAGGCTGCGGAGCTGATCGTACAACTTGAGAGATGCGTGAATTAAGGGGACATAGCTGTATGCTGTTAGTCAAATCTCCGCCTTGGGGCGTGGAAACACACCTGTCCATGCCTGATTCGCGGTCTCCAAGCTCGGTAGCCATTTTCCATGTTGCGGTCAACGCAGTGAGAATGTCTCTCCAATGATCTCCATAAATGTCGCTCATTAAAGGGAGTACTGAGGCCAACGCACGACACAGCTCGGCGCGAATCGGCAATGACAGGGAGTAATCCTGTAACCATGGGACCACGTGCTTGACGAAGAAGATTAGACGTTGCTTCGCAATGCTGTCTGAAACCCCCTGTTGCCCAGATAAGATGGCGTTCAGAATGACCAGTTGTCGAAGCCCTTGTAAAGGAACGTCAGCAGGTTCATCATTGTAATTGCGATTTATGTACGCACCTTCATCTGCCTTGACTTGCACATTGAGGCCAGTCAGATCAGCAACTAGTTCGTTACACAGTCTTTCGGATGCTCTAGATGCGACCAACTGCTCCCCGAACGCATGCAAAAATCCGAGTAGCGCAAGAGTGCCTGGTATAGTCAGATAATGTTCTGAGTTGTGATGATTTACCTGCCTTTGCTCTTCCGGGAATTCCTCATGGTGCTCTGGAAATCCACCCCCTGCCTGTTGTGCCATCCGTTGTGCTCGATAGAGTCGGACATTGTAACGCTGGCGGCACGGATAGTATAATAAGCCCTGGGACATAGATCGGACTCGGCATTGAGAAGTACACCCACCGCCCAGTCCAGGAACGGAGATTCCGAGGCTCTTTGTTCCACCTGAGCTGTGTGCGCCAATATTTCTAGGGCATCGGAGAGAAAAGCGGTAGCTTCGACCTCCGCGTCGGTATTGTAGTTTGCCCAAAGATGGTTTGCACCGGCGAGGCCAAGATTGTCTGTAGCTAGCTGGACAGTGAGTGCAAGGTTGCGAAAGATACAGCGGCGTTCAACGGCGGGTAGTTTGTCGAGTATTATGGCCGCATTACGCTCCTTAATGATCTTCGTAACATAGCGGGTAATGCGGTAGGCAGGAGAGTAGCCATCCGCATCGCGTGGCACTTTGTGATAGCTAACCTGATTTTGCTGTACCAGGTAAACAGCTCCTCCCAGACGATTCGTAATCGCCAACGAGGACTTTGGTTGGATATCGAGGAATGGCGATAGCGCCGCATCCCAATCCTTGAGATCAGGATAGACTTTGACCATCTCTTCTGAACCAGTGTTTGTGCCCTGCTCCTCTTGCGTTGAATGCTCTAGCAGTTGTTTGGCCAGATCCACCAGCGTTTCAACAGACACAGATGTAGAGGATGCATCTCGGAGCCCACGATGTATCAGATCAACAATTGATTGCTTTGACGCTGATTCTGCAGCAAGAAGAGTCCGAATCGAGGCATTCAAAGCAGTAGCAGCCTGCGCTATCTCATCGTCCGGGGATTCTGTTGCCAACAATAGACCTTGGAGCAAACTAGAACCATTTTGAGACGATAAATACGACGTCATGAAGGCAGGATTTTGTTTTATTACATGACGATAGCCTTCGAGCGCATATGGTGCTTGCTCGGACAGAGACAGTGATTGCGTCATCGACGTCAAGATGTCATCTATCGTCGAATCGGATATGATGTTCCTGGGAGACTGCAAAATATGCGTGAAGAAGTCCCAATCCGAATTTCCCTCTAAGGCTGCCATTGCATTCTCTTTGATATAAGCCTGCAGTTCTGGATCGTCGAAAGCAAGATCCAACGTTGGTGGTATCTTTGCCGAAGTCAACAGTGCATTGACCGCCGAAGACTTTGTTTGAGAATCTTCTGCAGCTAAAACATTCTTAAGCGACAGACTCCATGCTCTTTTGAACTCCGCTGATTCTGACATAGAGTAGAGAACCTCCACCAGGTAAGATGCCGAAGCCGAGAGAATCAGGTAGGGTAAATGATCTTTTATGAAGTTTTCAATTTTCTCCCTGCACCCTTGATCGGACAAAATGAGAGTGCGATTGCTGGTGAGGAACTGGGCTACGGCACCCGCGGCTCCATAAGGCTTCCCATTTCTGCGTTTCAATTGATCAAGTCCGGTGTCAATAATCGCGACGCACGTCTGGGTGAATGTTGACTTGAGAGGAGAGGGACGGTTGGCATTGAGGACATGTTTCTGTACTGTAGCCAACCGGGCAGCCCTTGCTATTAACGAGTCTTGGGACGATCGATAGTCTTTGGACTGCTCTGGGGCTGAAGTTCGTATGTCATTGACAAGAAGCTGCGTATAGCGTGGCCATTCTTCTTGAGCGACAATTGCCACGGGAGCACTACTCAGAGCCTTGGTTATGAGACTGTCAGACACGTTGTTGACAGTCCAGTCCGCGCTCTCTATGGTGGGTTGCAGAAATTGCGACACTAGCGGTAGAACCAGCTCTCGTGAGAGTCTCTGCTGCTCATCCTTGGATAAATCCTGGCAAATGATTCCAGTGATGTCCAGGTATGCGTCGTATGCGGTCTCCAGACTGGTTCGTGACTCATCCTTACGGATAATTCCTCCGTGGAGAGCATTGAGAAGTTCGGCGGCATCAGCGCCATTTGTAGGTAATACCTCCCTGGGTAGGAGTTTGAACAGGTCAACCAAACGTTGCCAGAATTCACGTGGCCCATGCTGTGAACCTTTCTTCAGAAACTGCCGCAAACGCCTCTCGACAGACGTTTTATTTTTGTAATGTTTCGTCCAAACAGTGGGATATCTGGAAGTCAACAGCACGAGGACATCGATGTAATCGTAAGCAGAGCCAGATTGGTCAGAGTTGAGGGCGCTACCAAGATAATTTTTGCAGATCACATCTAGATTGTCCGCAAGCGTATCTTTGATCGTGTATCAGCTGCTTGTCTCAACGCAGAGCTTGGGCACTCTCACCTGACTCCTTCTCCAGACAGACCTTAACGAAGCGATGAGCTGAGCGACGAATAGAAGCGTCTTGATGTGAAGCAAACTCCCACACTTTCGCGTCTTCTAGAGTGCTTGTGTAATCGGAATGGAACTTCGAACGGTCTTCGGCGCTCAGGTTGGACAGCAAGCTGCCGAGGAGGGAAAGGCAACCCGAGATGACCCTACTGTATTTCGCAGCAGCATCATCGGGGCTCTCCGTCCGATCATCACTCAATGTGTATGTTGTCTCCTTGTCTATGGCATTGCGGCAGTACTCCAGAATAGGTTGCTGATATGCCCTTCGAATATTTTGTATCTTTTCCGGAGTGTTGAAGACCAGCCGGAGGGAGCTCTGTGTTGCCTCTACTACGGAACGGTCTGTATCGTACAGTCCACATAGCCATGCGCCAACCGCCTTGGGCATGTGTCTCGCTATTCGCTTCCCCGCTGATGCCGCTATGTGACCGTGCAATGTATGTGCGTTTTGGCGGACAGACTTCGAATTGCTTATTGAAGTACGGGGATAGATTTCGATCTGCAATAATTTTGAATTACTATATGCCCTGTACACACATGCTGAATATGACGCACCCAGGCCTCCAAGAAACCTTCCTCAAGTGGACCTTCCAACGCAGAAACGTATGATTGAAGCTCCTCCAACGCCTTTGTCTTGGTTGTATTATCCTTCTTGGACAGATTGCGGAAGTACACGACGGCATTGGGATCTGAGAGATGTGATAGATCGGGAGGTTCGGTCACATAAGAGAGCTGAGACGAGCTGGTACCAAAAGCGGCATGAGAGGAAGTACGAAAACCCGCAAAGGCGGAGACGGCGGCGCGTGCGCTGCTGGCTTGCGCTTTGGACTGCTTTTTGCTCATGACAGGTATTTGAAAGAGTGTGTAGAAGTCTATGGCAACAAGGAGAGACGGAAGGAATTAAAAGCAATCGTATGTACAAGGCGTTTGCCTGGAGGGCGTCGTGGTGTAAGGATTAACTTACACGGTTCGAAAAAGGGCGCTGCTGGCCACCTGTGCGTCATGGCGGGGGACAAAGCTGCAGGGGCGGGGTGGAAGCGGTGCAACAATTTGCCGAGGGCTAAGCCATATCAGGCACTAGCGGCGATCGTTGACTTGAACTGAGAGGCAACAACGAGAAACAACAGCCAAACAACGCCTCCACAAACATTGCGGGCTGGTACCGCATTGAAGCCTACATAATGAAGTTCTACATAGAGTAAGCTGGTCCCTGTACTGAACTGCATTTGGCGGAATCCTAACATGCAGTCTCAGCGAGCTTCCAGTGCTTTTCCCCTACCCCAGGGTCTATCCAGAGCAATATGCCTACATGTGCGATCTCAAGCGGACCCTGGACGCGGGCGGCCACTGCGTGCTGGAGATGCCTTCTGGCACGGGTAAAACCGTGTCTCTTCTTTCGTTGATTGTAGCGTACCAGCAGTTTCACCCTGAAAAGAGGAAGCTCATCTACTGCTCACGTACCATGTCCGAGATTGAAAAAGCGCTCGCAGAGTTGAAAGCACTCATGAAGTACCGGACCGAGCAGCTGGGATATGAGGAAGAGTTCCGTGGGCTGGGGTTGACGAGTCGCAAGAACTTGTGTCTTCATCCGTCCATCAAACGCGAGAAGAGCGGAGCGGTGGTGGATGCGCGGTGTCGCAGCGTCACGGCTGGATTCGTCAAAGAGAAGAAGGAGCGTGGCGAAGACGTCGAGCTCTGCGTCTATCACGAGAATCTGGAGCTTCTCGAACCGCACAATCTCATTCCTCCGGGTGTATGGACCTTAGATGGCATGCTTCGGTATGGGGAGCAGCACAAACAATGTCCTTATTTCACAGCACGGCGAATGATGCAATACTGCAACGTGATCATTTACTCCTACCACTATCTACTTGACCCCAAAATTGCCGAACGAGTCTCCAAGGAGCTATCCAAGGACTGCATCGTCGTGTTTGACGAGGCTCACAACATTGACAACGTGTGTATCGAATCATTGAGCATCGACCTTACAGAAGATTCGCTACGGAAAGCCACTCGAGGTGTCAATAACCTAGATCGCAAGATAACGGACATGAAATCCTCAGACGCAGAAAAGCTACAAAATGAGTATGCCAAGCTAGTGGAAGGTCTCCGAGCAGCGGACGAGGCGCGTGATGAAGAAGCCTTCATGTCCAATCCAGTTTTACCGGACGACCTCCTCAAAGAAGCGGTTCCAGGCAATATTCGCCGAGCCGAACATTTTGTGGCATTTCTAAAGCGGTTCATAGAATATCTGAAGACACGGATGAAAGTGCTGCACGTCATATCAGAAACACCTCCCTCATTCCTGAGTCACCTTCGCGAACTCACATTCATCGAGCGGAAACCGCTCCGCTTCTGCGCCGAACGCCTCACCTCCCTCGTCCGCACCCTCGAACTTACCAATATCGAGGATTACCAACCCCTCCAAGAAGTCGCAACGTTTGCGACGCTTGTCGCAACCTACGAAACCGGCTTTCTGCTCATCCTCGAACCCTACGAATCCGCGACCGCGACCGTTCCTAACCCCATCCTCCACTTCACCTGTCTCGATGCCGCCATCGCCATTAAACCCGTCTTCGAGCGTTTCAGCTCGGTAATCGTCACTTCGGGAACGATGTCCCCCCTAGACATGTACCCGCGCATGCTCAACTTCTCCACCGTCGTCCAATCCTCCTTCACCATGACCCTCACACGCAAAACCTTCCTCCCGATGATCGTCGACCGCGGCAGCGACCAAAATCAAATAACCTCGCAATTCGAGCACCGCAACGACATGCCCGTGATCCGCAACTTCGGCAACCTCCTCATCGAATTCTGCAAACTGACACCGGACGGCGTCGTCGTCTTCTTCCCTTCGTACCTGTACATGGAATCCATCATCTCCATGTGGCAAGGCATGGACATACTCAACCAAGTCTGGAAACACAAACTCATCCTCGTCGAAACTCCGGACGCCCAGGAAACCTCGCTCGCCCTCGAAACCTTCCGCACAGCCTGCAACAACGGCCGCGGCGCCGTGCTCCTGTGCGTCGCCCGCGGCAAGGTCTCCGAGGGCATCGACTTTGACCACCACTACGGCCGCACCGTCTTGTGCATGGGCGTCCCCTACCAATACACGGAATCCCGCATCCTCAAAGCCCGCCTCGAGTTCCTCAGGGAAACGTACCGCATCAAGGAATCCGACTTCCTCTCCTTCGACGCCATGCGGCACGCCGCCCAGTGCCTGGGGCGCGTCATCCGCGGCAAGGACGACTACGGCATCATGGTGCTCGCGGACAAACGGTTCGGCAAGAAGATCACGCAGCTGCCCAAGTGGATCCAGATGGCGCTCGATACCAAGAATGCCAAGTTGAGCGTCGATCAGGCGGTGGCGCATGCGAAGGCCTTTTTGAGGGAGATGAGCGTGCCGTGGAGTCGGAAGGAGAAGGAGGGGGTCGCGAGTTGGGGGATTGAGGAGTTGGAGGCGCATCAGAGAAAGTTGAGGGAGCAGGCGATTGCGGGGACGGAGGATTCGAGGATGAGGGGTTTGGAGGGGAGGGCGGATGGGAGGACCTTTGAAGGGGCGGGCGCTGGGGTGGATGGTGGGGTCTCTGGGAGAGTGGAGGGGAGGGTGGTGGATGTCAGTGGGTTGGCGGACGACGAGTATGGTGGTGACGAGATGGATGTTGTTATGGCAGACATTCAGGTTTGAGTGGGCGGGTTGTCTCGAGATTGGGATCTGTACAGCATTTGTTTGAGTACCTAGCGATGGGCACATTGGCGGCGACACAGTATATACGTATCTTGATACGGGCGCAATGAATCATTCAAATTCATGTCAGTATAGCAAAATTCACGGTATAAGCAAAGGTGTATACGTGGTTGCTAGCTGTTGATTTGAACTAAGTGAATACTCGAAGGCACATGCTAGAGCACGCCCAACTCCACTAGGGACAACTGGCAGCCACTCCTAGTATGTACCATAAAGCCAAAAAACGCGTCATAAAACGATTGTGCCAGACTGTATCAAGGAATAACCCGTAGGAAACGCCATGAGGCTCCAAATGAAACTATCACACTTCCATATCCATGAACAACCAGCGAGTACTGGTGATCTCGTCCCCACCGCCGAACTCCTCAAGGGTCGTTAGCTGGAAACCAATCCAGCCAAGGTCCTTGGCTCGCGCCTCCATGAGAAGTGGATTGGTGCGGCGATCCAGACATGCGACAAGGCGGGAGCAGGAGAAGTAGGGGTTGTCACAGAGTTCGAGAAGAGCCATCAACCTGGAGACAAAGTTAGTAAGGGACGATGTAAGAGAAAAGAAGGGGTCACATACCCGGCCTTGAGATCGCCGGCAATGACAGACTGATCAAAGAAGACGAACATCGCCCTCTCACCATTCTTCTCAGCAACGAAACCCCTGAACTTATTCCCACCCACATAATCCCACATCTCAAGCCACGTCCTCACAGCACCAATCCCACACCCTTCTCCCAGTCCGCCGGCATCCATTTCCGGACTCGGCGGTAACTGATCCAACTTTTCCGGATATCGTCTCACATGGACACCATAGTCGGAGATATCGTTCGGAATCGGAACGTCGTCGATGATATGCATACCCGATACAAGCGAGTCCTGGCGCGCTGCGTTTCCCTCACCCAGAAATACAGCTCGCAGTGTCTCGCAGAAGAGTCTCTCACACTCTTCCGTAATGGTGTATGCAGCCCCCCCTCTGCGCGCCCGTCCGCTACCCTGAATCATGGCATTCTTGTTGGCGGCGTACGTGTGTCTGGCGGCGAGGGGGGGACTCTGCGGAGGAGATGGTATTCCCTGCGCACAATCAGTCTCTTGTTCAGGGACACTTCTGGTTCGTGCATGACACGAGAGGTATGTACTCACCGAGCTGACCTCAGGAACACCAATCGACCCCGCCGGCCCCCGTAGTGGAGTAGTGGAAGCCCTGGAGAGCCGTAGTGCGGGCATCTACGGCATAGCAGCTGGCGCTGACGTTGTGACTGACAACGCCATAGTCAGAGGTATAGTAGCAGTCTCCGTGGAAATTACTACTACTACTGTCATTATTACTGGTTGATGAATTCGCCATGGTTAGAGTTTGCCACGGTTGCGTCGGGTGTGGTGCCTCGGGGTGAATTTTGAAGAAAAGGAGAGTTTGGAGTAATGGAGTTTCGAAGGGAGCGAGGTCGTCAGGAATCAAAGCCGAGTGTTAGAAGAGGGACTCGTATGTGTTGCTAGATGTGCGGATTAAGCCCTGAAGCGGTGACCGACAGAAGCATGGCGCCGGAGCGGAAGTGGAGACGTTCAAATCCTTGTGCGGAGTGGGTCCGTGCGTTAATCCGTCTCAGACGACTTTGGCTTGGCGCTTGAATCTCAAGCTTGCCCAGCTGGAGGTGGGACGGTCGACGCCACGTGACATGTCGCCACTTCCAAGGTTCCACTTGTTTCTACTGTGGTTGCCAGGGGAAGTAGTCAATGTGGATCCTCAGAGCTGGCCCAAGCGTGAATTTTTACAGGGATAATTCGACCAATAAGGCTCCTCTGAGGTAATCAGAGGTACTGTTTCGTTACTTCGGAGTACTTTCCATGTTGTTCCATCACGACTCTTAATCCATCGCTCATCAATGAACTGATATGCTACTATGGAGGTCAATAACTCACTCCGAACATCTCAATCTATTGAATCTCAATCTACTGAATCTGAATACGCTGAATCCAATCAATCTCAGCCTCGTCACCGATACCTATCATGCGATGAACGGATCTGGGTCCATACACTTCGAGATATTGGATGGCAATTGGACGACATCGTGAAGATGCTCAACATCTCATGGGCTCAAGCTCAGTATGCTGCCTCCCATAGAGTGACTCCTAAGAAGTGCCCAGGGCATCCTCCAGTACTCAGTAAGAAGCAGATAGATGAGATAGAGCTATTCATTGTCTCTAGCAAGACTGGAAAGCTGATGAGCTATCTAGAACTCTCAGTACAATTTTCTGAGTTCCAGATCGGTCCCGAAGCTATCAGATCTGCCTTGAGACATAGAGGTTATAAATGATATGTCGCACACCAGAAGCCCCCTCTATCGGAGGCTAATAAGTGGGAGAGACTCCATTGGGTACAAGAGCATATAAATTGGACACGAGAACAATGGTGTTCAATCCTATAGACTGATGAGACCTGGGTTACGGGAGGCAGGCACAGGAAATGTGTAAGATTCCATGGATAATGGTATGTCCTCTAGGAATCTTGGTTGGTTCTCGGGGATGAACGATAGGGTTCTTTGCACAGGGATGATACCGGAGGTAACGGGTATTTGAAAACCAAGTGTACTAAGAAGTACTTGACTGAATTGAATATGATGAGCCATATAGGCTCATCATCTACTGTTATATACATGAGGTGCTCTCTTTGCTCCATAAACATGAGTAGAGCATTGAGAGCAGGTTGTATGCTCTTGCTCTGTTGCTCTCCTTGCTCCAGAGAGATCAGATGATCGCTGAGAGCACTCCACAGATAATACGTGATCATGTCATGCCAGCTACACTGTGCTCTGTGACCTTTCTCACTTAACTGAGAGCAATACTGGTCGGGTGGAGTCTAGCTTTTCTTGGATCGTTACAAAGCGCTGGGTGACCCGGAAATCCTGGGAGGAGCTTGACCCCATCTGTGTGCTTGAGAAACACTCTAGAAAGTCCAGTTGAATGTTCTGGGATTATTTTAGTGATAATAAAAAAGGCCCAGGGATCTTTTGGGAGAAAGATTGGGGTACTATTGTCAGATTTGATGGTATCTGAAGATGTCACAGTGACAGAAAGATTGATTGAAGATGGGTTGACTGATTGTATTCAGGTGTGTGCTTGTGTGAGTGAGGCTGAGGTCTGACACCGGTTTTGATGTTCCTTCTCTGGGCACCAAGGCTGTGCAGGGCACTAGCCACTGCAAAATCACTAGCCACATGTCCTCAGACAGTACCGGTACAGACAGTTTCTCCCAGTCCTCCTCTTCAGTCCTAGATGGGATGTCCATAAACTGGCTTACCATCTGACACACCCCCTCAGCTTGGAACCCATTGCAAGCTGGACCCAACAGCATCTCCTCTTCAGAGTAGCATGTCTTCCAACTTGCCTTGTACTTCATCCAAGTCTATCTCCTTCAGGGCACTTGAGTTCTTCACTCTTTCCAGTCCCAATTGATCCAAGAACCTGTTCCACTTGTTCCCAGGCAATACCTTTGTAAACCCATCAGCCAACATCCTTTCTGATTGCAGATACTCAATCTTGATGATCCCAGATGATATCTCTTGTCTCAGCCAGTGATTGTAAATGTCCACATACCTGAGCTTGGTCTGCAACCTTGAGATCTCTGCATTGAGGAGCCTGATAGTCTGTTGATTGTCACAATGGATGGTTATTGTCTGCTCTGGGAGTGGAACCTCCAGTTCCTTGAGGAGTCTTGAAATGAACATGGCTTCCTTTGCCACCTGTGAGAGTGTAAGCAGTTCAGCTTCAATGGTGGATGTGGTGACTATGTCTTGCTTGTTTGCCTTCCATGCAATAAGGCCATTGAACAGTTTGATTGTGTATCCTTGGGAACTTTTCCTATCCAGTGTATTATCTGCAAATGATGCATCACTTGCAACTTCCAAGGAATCACCTCCTCCCATCTTGAGACCAAGGTTCTTTGTATCAAGGAGGTACAGAAGGATGTGGTCTGCTCCATTTTGGTGTTTCTATCCTGGGTTCATTAGGAAGTGGGCCAGTCTGGAAGTTGCAAAGGCAATGTCTGGTCTGGTGGTGACTGTAGTAAACAGCAAGGATCCAATCTTTCTCTGATACTTATTGATCTCAGATGGTGTTGCTAGGCCTTCTCTTGGCTTGAGTTCAACATTTGCCATTGGGGTATCATGTCTGAGGTCTGTTCTATCCACCAGATGGCTGATCTTCTCAGCATACTGAGCTTGGGAGAGAAGGAGAGTGCACTCTTCATGGTCTCTCAGGACTTCTACACCAAGGAACCACTGAAGATCACTACCTCCTATAATGATATACTTCTCTATGAGTTTCCTGATGGATTCCTGAGCCTTCCTCTTCCTGGACTTGTGGAATGCAACAATGATATCATCCACATAGAAGAACAAAATGATTCCATCTTTGATAAGACAACATGGTTCATATTTCACTGTGTGGAATCCCATTTCCATCAGTGTCTTTGTCAATTCTCTCTGCCATAGCAGGAGAGAAATCCTGAGTCCATACAGGGCCTTGTTGAGTCTGAGGAGTATTCCTGGCTTCCTGTATCCTGGAAGCATCTGTATATAGACTTCTCTGTCCATGGATGTATACACAAAGGCATTGGTAACATCATATTGTTTGAGTTCCAGGTCAAAGTATGCTGCAATGGCCATCATCATCCTGAAAGATCTCCCTGCTAAGGTTGCAGCATATATGTCCTGAGATGTAATATTTCTCTGTTGATCTCCTCTTATAACCAGGTGGGCCTTGTATTTGTCCAGTCTGTGATGCTTATCAAATTTGTAGACATACATCCATATGCAGTCCAGGATTTGGTGACCAGCATCTTTCACTCCCTTGCTTGAGACTTCAGTCCAGGATTGTATGGGAACATGGGATCTGAGATGTGCTCTTTCTGCTTCCTTAAACTGTTCCCTGAGCTCATGGTCCTTGAGTTGCCAATGGTGCTTGGGTGGAGGTGGTAGTTGGTTCCTATGTGGTTTCACCCCCTGAGCTAACAACCTCTTCAAGTGTGCCTTGTCAATTGGTTTCCCTTCATGGGATCCAATATCTCCTGCTCGTATTCTAGCCATGAATGCAGCATGCCATGGTACCGTTTTAGCTGTGCTAGTATCCTGGAGTGATGGATGCTGTTCATCAGGTCCTGAGAGAAGTTGGGCCAAGAGTATCATGGGTAGTGGTGTATCAGGTGGAGTAGGATAAGGACCCATGATCTTTCTTCCTTGGTGGTACCCTGGTTGGTCTGGTTCTTCTTGGTTGTCCTGAGGAGCATCTTCAATGGTTTCATCCTCATAGAATGACTGGGTCTCTTGTTCACCTGATGG